GTGTTCCCTTTATTTTTTTGAGCAGTGTATATATGCCTAATAGTATTACATTTACATTACATTTTAGTCATTTAGCAGACGCTCTTATCCAGAGCGACTTACAGGAGCAATTAGGGTTAAGTGCCTTGCTCAAGGGCACATTTACGTCATTTAGCAGACGCTCTTATCCAGAGCGACTCACCAATTGGTGCGTTCACCCTATAGCCAGTGGGATAACCACTTTACAATTTTGGGGGGGGTAGAAGGATTACTTTATCCTATCCCAGGTATTCCTTAAAGAGGTGGGGTTTCAAATGCCTCCGGAAGGTGGTGAGTGACTCCGCTGTCCTGGCGTCGTGAGGGAGCTTGTTCCACCATTGGGGTGCCAGAGCAGCGAACAGTTTTGACTGGGCTGAGCGGGAACTATGCTTCCGCAGAGGAAGGGGAGCCAGCAGGCCAGAGGTGGATGAACGCAATGCCCTCGTTTGGGTGTAGGGACTGATCAGAGCCCGAAGGTACAGAGGTGCCGTTCCCCTCACTGCTCCATAGGCAAGCACCATGGTCTTGTAGCGGATGCGAGCTTCAACTGGAAGCCAGTGGAGTGTGCGGAGGAGGGGGGTGACGTGAGAGAACTTGGGAAGGTTGAACACCAGACGGGCTGCGGCATTCTGGATGAGTTGTAGGGGTTTAATGGCACAGGCAGGGAGGCCAGCCAACAGCGAGTTGCAGTAGTCCAGACGGGAGATGACAAGTGCCTGGATTAGGACCTGTGCCGCTTCCTGTGTACACAACAATAATAGGTAATATGACATGCAGCTCATCAGCTGTCAATGGCTTCCTCCTTTTTGATCAAGCACACACACACAAACATGTGACTCAAATCATTAGTACTGTAACCTTTCTGTGTCAACCCAGTAAACTGTGTGTGTGTTTTTGTAACCTCAATACAGATGTGTGTGTCTGGGTATCTCCTGTAAAAAATGGCCCTCATGTTGAACTCCAGGTTTCCATCCTTCTTGAACACACCTGTTCTTAGGGTGTCGTACTCACATCAGATCACAGCATACTAACCTGGTGCTACACAACACAGATACAGACAATACAATTAGACTAGATTTCAATGGAAAGATGGAAATCAAGGTTTGTACTAAATAACATCAGATGTGATCAAATCAAAGTTTATTTGTCATCTGCGCAAGATACAGGATGTAGGCTAAACATTGCAGTGAAATGCTTACTCACAGGCTCTTCTCAACAGTGCAGTACACATCCACCATTACCTAAGGTGGCAATATCTGTTAATGGTAATCTTTTAACAATGTCCCAGTAATGTGTATATCTGTCTGTTTAGGCTGGCTGATGCAGAGACATGTAAGTTTGTATGTGTAAACTTGTGTGTGACCTGACAAAAGCTAAAGATGGGTTCCCCTTGAAGTCTGATAGTCCTGTCCAGCTGGTCTGTAATCAACTCAGGTATCTGCCACTATTTTTTTTTATTTAACCTTTATTTATCTAAGCAAGTCAGTTAAGAACAAATTCTTATTTACAATGACGGCCTACACCGGCCAAACCCGGACGACGCTGGGCCAATTGTGCGCTGCACTATGGGACTCCCAATCACGGCCGGTTGTGATACAGCCTGGAATCGAACCACGGGGTCTGTAGTGACGCCTCAAGCACTGAGATGCCCACTATAAAGATATAACTCAAAGACAGACACACAACTGGTAACTTAGCTTAGCTATACCTCATAAGAATGTGTCATAACATAATGTGTTGCCATGCATAAATTACAGTATTGTGATAATCAGATTCCATGTGAGGCTAAGTTATTCACCAGATACATTATTTCTCTCCCTCTCATACTAGCTAGCTAGCTAGCTACTCCTCTTTCTCTCACACACAAAAACACACACGGATGGCTTCAACGTATCAAGCTTAGGAAACATCATTCAGTGGGTTAACATTAGCCCGTTAGTTTGCTGTATATATCTAGTTAGCAAGCTACTTAGGTTAGCTAGAAAAGCGAAGTGGTCTGGTCAGAATCTAAAACAGCTAGCTAGCTAGCCAAGCTAACTCAACTCCATGATTTACGATAGACTTGCGCTTATCTTGGCTAGCTAGCTAACGTTAGTGAGATAGAGCTAGATAGCTACTGTAGCCACAATGGAGCCGAATTGAATGTAATATATCTAACTAGTTAGTTTAACTAGCTGCTGTTAGCATATAGCTAGCTTGCTATCTAGCAATACCAACGAATTACAATGCTGAACCAACCAAAGCAATTTTAGCAGCACGCGATCACATCAGACCTGATACCTTCCATTCTGTCCTCTGGACTACACTAGCTAGTCATTACACATAACATAAGCTTCCACTTAACATTCCATAGCAGTCTGAGCTGTAGCTACACATTGTGCCCCCTACCGGCTCCCTCCCACTTTTCCACAACAGTCTTCCAAAGAGGTTTGAACTGATCTTTCCACTTACAATCGTCCACTCGCCTCCCCTTAGCATTCGTCACTTCCGGTTCTCGTTGAAGGAGCAGTTCCGAGTCCCAATAATCACTCTATTGCGGCATGGCCTTATCAAGTTGTTAGTTGAATATTACATTTTACAATCGATGTATAGACACGTATTACGCCTCATAGATGAGATCTATTCAGTGAAGAAGTGTAACTTTTCTAACTCATTTTCATATTTGTAAAATATCGGCCTAAAATGTAGGCCTACTGTAAATGACAGTCTGCTCTAAATGTCTAGTTTGGAATAGGTTTGCCATGCCTATAATATTTTTATGAACATAATGCATTCCATTCACGTACAATTTTCAGTTTGTGTTTGCTGTTCAAAAGCTCAAACGTCTACTCAACTGCGTCTACTAGTGGAGTGGAGAAATGAAAGCAAATTATTCTCAAAATGGATGCGGGGAGACATAAGTTTCTGTTTCTTTTTTGGAAGCAAAACTTTATGTTGAGTTAGGATTACATTACTCGGTGAATATATATATGCTATTTGTGGCAAATATCTGAGTATAGGCTCAGAATATCGAAGTGTGTTCTAATCGCGACGTTTTTCATTTTTCGTACTTCTTCCTGGTTGCAACGTACGTGGAGACTTGACTTTGGCACAACGATTCGCCAAATCATTCATATGGATTGGCGACATTTTTCTCGGAATAGACCAATTAAAAGTATCGGAATATCAACGATAGACGGAGGTGGTCTGCGAATGTCAAGAGGAGAAAAAGGGACAAACTGATTTCATACGTTTTTTTCAACCATGGAAATCGAGAATGGTGTCGCAAGAGGTGACGAATAGAGTTTTTGGTCAACCATAATTCGTTATATCACTCTTATATAACACTTTTATATGATAGCTATTTATCATTTACATTTTACTATGTCGAGAATTGGTTATAGTCATACATCATTGGTTTTTGGTCTATCTATGAGTATTACATTATTTACAGTTTACAGTATTTTGTCACGTGTGCATAGGGTACAAACTTTACTGTAGTTAGAATCCGTAAGCAACAAGAATAATGCATACACATGGGCGAAACACTAGCTAGCACTCCAGATAATGCAGTTCCATAGGTAAAACACAATATTTTTGGCATAAATACACTACATGACCAAAAGTCTGTGGACACCTACTCGTCGAACATCTCATTCCAAAATCATGAGCATTAATATGGAGTTGGTCCCCCCATTGCTGCTATAACAGCCTCCACTCTTCTGGGAAGGCTTACCACAAGATGTTGGAACATTGCTTCCATTCAGCCACAAGAGCATTAGTGAGGTCGGCGATTACATTTTTACATATATTATTATTATTATTATTATTACATTTTAGTCATTTAGCAGACGCTCTTATCCAGAGCAACTTACAGGAGCAATTAGGGTTAAGTGCTTTGCTCAAGGGCACATCGACAGATTTTTCACCTAGTCGGCTCGGGGATTAGAACTAGCGACCTTTCGGTTACTGGTACAACACTCTTAACCACTAAGCTACCTGCCGATTAAGCATTCCAATTCATTCCAAAGGTGTACAATGGGGTTGAGGTCAGGGCTCTGTGCAGGCCAGTCAAGTTCTTCCACACTGATCACGACAAACCATTTATGTATAGACCTCGCTTTATGCACAGGGGCATGGTGATATTATGCTTGTGTATGGCTGCTCGGCCATGGAAACCCATTTCATGAAGCTCCCGACAAACATTTATTGTGTTGACGTTGGGTCCCGTGTAGCTCAGTTGGTAGTGCATGGTGCTTGCAACGCCAGGGTTGTGGGTTCGTTTCCCACGGGGGGGACAGTATGAAAATGTATGCACTCACTAACTGTAAGTCACTCTGGATAAGAGCGTCTGCTAAATGACTAAAATGTAAAATGTTGCTTCCAGAGGCAGTTTGGAACTCTTTACATGCTACGCGCTTCAGCAATTGGCAGTCCCGTTCTGTGAGCTTGTGTGGTCTACCGCTTTGCGGCTGAGCCGTTGTTACTCCTACTAGATTTTTCCACCTCAAAATAACAGCACTTACAGTTGACCGGGGCAGCTCTAGCAGGGCAGAAAATCTTTTAACAACATGCTCACCAGTATTTGGCCTAACTCAAAATAGTATATATAGAATAGAATCAATATGGTCGTTACAAATGCATGACACCTAGAATAGAAAATAATATCATATATATGGTAGTTACCAATGCAAGGCACATTTGACATTTTAGTCATTTAGCAGACGCTCTTATCCAGAGTGACTTACAGTTAGTGAGTGCATACATTTTCATACTGGCCCCCTGTGGGAAACGAACCCACAACCCTGGTGTTGCAAGCGCCATGCTCTACCAACTGAGCTACAGGGGACCTAGTATAGAATAGACAATAATATAATATAAACAATTATATAATATATCAATATGGTAGTTACAAATGCATGGCAACTGTTGGTACAAAACATAACAATGTACAACCCTACAGTAAAGTCACTTTTTAATCTTCTTCCTGTTCCAACCACCAGGTGTTTTATTACCTGTACTACCAGGATCTGAGCCCTTCGACAACATTATTCTGCCTCCACTGCAGAACATGTACATGTACGAGGAGTCTAAGCTGTCTTTCAGATACAACTCTGCTTTCTTGATAAAGAATGCAACCCTGCAAGAACGGGTCAGTATATTTGACGACTTGGTAACTTTTTAATCCACTTGCTTACCCCTCAGTGCGCCGTCCCTCTCTGACCAGAGTTCAGTTATTGCATGATAATATCTGTGTAATACTTGATAATACATGATCGTACTTGTACTTCTACATGATAGTATAAGTGTTATATTTGATAGTACATACTATGTGCAATACTTGGTATTTCTTGTGCTGTTCAGTCAGTTGTTAAGTAAATCGGTTTACTTTTGCTAGCAAGATGTTGGTCACATGCGACAAAGAATGACCTTTTTCTTGTTTGACAGTATGAGGCCTTCCGAACTGAAAGGAGAGGCATGGGATACTCAGAGGAAGAACTGGAGGAGTCCTATGGGTTCTTGCTTTTCGACGACGAAAATAAGGTGAAAATAATAAATAAGAAAGAATATCAATGAACACCAGAATAATATCACTCTAAACATATTAATAACCATTTCTACATTTATATTTCTGTAAAAAAAAAGGAAAGAAAGTCACACACTGTATACTTTTTTTAAATGGAGAAACCGATATCAGTAATTTCTTGTCATAGAAAACTACCTCAAAACATCCCAAGCAAAGTTACTGATCACTACTAATCACTATTTTTCGATTTTAAAGGCAAATAAAGTGGGAGAAACTGGTGTAGTCCCTGGACACAGCACATGCTCAACGCTTGGAGATCCTTCAAAGGGTAAATGAGCTCCGCCATATTGTTTTATAACTCCTCCGCCATAGAAAACGAGATATCACCCACTGGGCACACCACGTAATTTCAAGGTTGAAATGTGGGTAATATTTGGTTGAGATGTTGATCAATGACATTTAAACCTTTATTCACCCACTGAATTCCCAATGTGTTATCACTATGCTTTCAACCATTTAAAAGCAACAAAGTTCAAATAGGAAGATAATGTCAGACATTATGGATTTATACAACAACTTAATGTATTATTACTGTGCTTCATCTAGTAGCACAACCAAATGACCTGGATTGCAGTTGAGATTACATTAAAAGTACACAGTGCAAGTGATCAATGCTGTTCAAGAGTCTGCACAGATTATTATAGCAATTGTGAAGATTTCCACAGACCTGCTATGATGAACATGCATGATTTCTATGATTACATAATAGTAACAGTAACCTCAATATGTGGCCATGGATGCATTACTCATTTTAAGGTTGAATAAATACTGTTACATTAGTTTGTAAGATAGTCTTAACTTTTGTCTATTTACTGTATTAGAAAAGTAATATTGAATTGTGTTTGGTTAACAACACAACCAAATATCAACATTTAAAAGATATGTATCTAATGTTTGGATAGTTTCATCTGAGTCACTGGCTAAATCCTATTCTTTAACTTTTATTTTTGGTTTATTTGCAGATGTGAATCCAACATATCATTTATTAACTTGCAAGTTATTGGGCTATTTACTGTATTGCGAAAGTGATATTGAATTGTATTTAGTTCTCAACGCAACCAAATATCAACATTAGAAGGAAATTAATATTTTGTGCCACTGATTTAGTCTAGCTTTATTTCCAGTTTGTCGAGAAATTAATAATTGATATGTTATATTCACGTCTCCATCACAAACAAAAATCTAAATTAAAGAATAGGACTAAATCCTATCAAACTTTATTTAAAGTGCATTTAAAGTTTGATTTGATTTAGGCATATTCTTTAACTTCGATTTTTGGTTGAGATGGAGATGTGAATTCAACATGTCAATTATATATTTGTAGACAAACTGGAATTAAAGCCAGACGAAATCAGTGGCACAGATGGAACTGTCCAAGCAGAAGATACATCTCCTTCAAATTATATTTGGTTGCATTGACAACCAACCACAATTCAATATCCAGTTTGTCTACAAATTAATAATTGATATGTAGGAATCACCTCTTCATCTCCACCAAAAATCAAAGGTAAGGAATAGGACTAAATCAAATCAAACTTTATTTAAAGTGCACTTAAAGTTTGATTTGATTTATTCCTATTCTTTAACTTGAATTTTTGGTTGAGATGGAGACGTGAATCCAACATATTAATTATTAACTTGAAGATTATATTTCCACCAAAGTTTACAACCCTATGACTATTTGTATTGTCTATTTTTAGTTTAGTCATTTAGCAGACGCTCTTATCCAGAGCGACTTACAGTTAGTGAGTGCATACATTTTTCATACCCTGAGTTGAATTTAAACGCTCACAAGAGCGGAAATTCAATTGTTTTTAGCTGAAAGACGATGCCCATAGCTTACGCATGATGTTGCACAACGATTTAAGTCAATAAGTCATAGTTTTAGTCAATATATGATATATTTGGGCTTGAAGTGGGAAATCCAAAGTAGTAACTAAATATATTTTCTGTGTCAATGCCGTGTGTTTCACTTATGAGATGACATGCTAATACTTTTCAATCTACGTTTCTTTTCGGGGCTGGGTTTTATTTGAATGTTACCACCCATCAGCATGGCATTGTTTATTAATCAGAAACACCTGCAAAGTTCTTCCTCACGACTGAGCCAAACAGCTTTTTGCCGTATCCTACACTTGGCCGCCTTAGCTATGGAGCAAATAATTTTTTTGCACCTCCACTTTTTTACCAGCAAATTATCATAATCCATTGGATAATTTGTCAAATTTCACTTTTTATTTAGCTAGTCTGTATAAAAATAAAAAAATGACATTTTTATAAATTATTACATTGCATTTGATATGACTGCATTTTGGAACCCCGCTCCTCCCAAGATGAATGGTTTTGACCACGCTCCACTGCTTTGATTGGTGCAGCTAGAAACCACAAGTGTCTATCCTATAATGAAAAGGCACCTGCAAAAGAAAATTACACAAACTAGTTTATCTATTTTGTTGTGCTGTTTTTACATTTGTATTGATGTGTTCGATCGTCTCAGGATGTTGTTACATACACTATATACAGTGGGGAAAAAAAGTATTTAGTCAGCCACCAATTGTGAAAGTTCTCCCACTTAAAAAGATGAGAGAGGCCTGTAATTTTCATCATAGGTACATGTCAACTATGACAGACAAAATGAGAAAGAAAAATCCAGAAAATCACATTGTAGCATTTTTAATGAATTTATTTGCAAACTATGGTGGAAAATAAGTATTTGGTCAATAACAAAAGTTTCTCAATACTTTGTTATATACCCTTTGTTGGCAATGACACAGGTCAAACGTTTTCTGTAAGTCTTCACAAGGTTTTCACACACTGTTGCTGGTATTTTGGCCCATTCCTCCATGCAGATCTCCTCTAGAGCAGTGATGTTTTGGGGCTGTCGCTGGGCAACACGGACTTTCAACTCCCTCCAAAAATGTTCTATGGGGTTGAGATCTGGAGACTGGCTAGGCCACTCCAGGACCTTGAAATGCTTCTTACGAAGCCACTCCTTCGTTGCCCGGGCGGTGTGTTTGGGATCATTGTCATGCTGAAAGACCCAGCCATGTTTCATCTTCAATGCCCTTGCTGATGGAAGGAGGTTTTCACTCAAAATCTCACGATACATGGCCCCATTCATTCTTTCCTTTACACGGATCAGTCGTCCTGGTCCCTTTGCAGAAAAACAGCCCCAAAGCATGATGTTTCCACCCCCATGCTTCACAGTAGGTATGGTGTTCTTTGGATGCAACTCAGCATTCTTTGTCCTCCAAACACGACAAGTTGAGTTTTTACCAAAAAGTTCTATTTTGGTTTCATCTGACCATATGACATTCTCCCAATCCTCTTCTGGATCATCCAAATGCACTCTAGCAAACTTCAGACGGGCCTGGACATGTACTGGCTTAAGCAGGGGGACACGTCTGGCACTGCAGGATTTGAGTCCCTGGCAGCGTAGTGTGTTACTGATGGTAGGCTTTGTTACTTTGGTCCCAGCTCTCTGCAGGTCATTCACTAGGTCCCCACGTGTGGTTCTGGGATTTTTGCTCACCATTCTTGTGATCATTTTGACCCCACGGGGTGAGATCTTGCGTGGAGCCCCAGATCGAGGGAGATTATCAGTGGTCTTGTATGTCTTCCATTTCCTAATAATTGCTTCCACAGTTGATTTCTTCAAACCAAGCTGCTTACCTATTGCAGATTCAGTCTTCCCAGCCTGGTGCAGGTCTACAATTTTGTTTCTGGTGTCCTTTGACAGCTCTTTGGTCTTGGCCATAGTGGAGTTTGGAGTGTGACTGTTTGAGGTTGTGGACAGGTGTCTTTTATACTGATAACAAGTTCAAACAGGTGCCATTAATACAGGTAACGAGTGGAGGACAGAGGAGCCTCTTAAAGAAGAAGTTACAGGTCTGTGAGAGCCAGAAATCTTGCTTGTTTGTAGGTGACCAAATACTTATTTTCCACCATAATTTGCAAATAAATTCATTAAAAATCCTACAATGTGGTTTTCTGGAATTTTTTTCTCTCAATTTGTCTGTCATATTTGACGTGTACCTATGATGAAAATTACAGGCCTCTCTCATCTTTTTAAGTGGGAGAACTTGCACAATTGGTGGCTGACTAAATACTTTTTTCCCCCACTGTATACAAAAGTAAGTAGCACGTATAAATCGTCTGTCCTCTGTTGCAACACTCACTACCGGGTTCCAAACTGCCTCTGGAAGCAACATCAGCACAAGAACTGTTCGTTGGGAGCTTCATGAAATGAAGCTTCAGCCGCACAGAAGTCTAAGATCACCATGCACAATGCCAAACGTCGGCTGGAGTGGTGTAAAGCTCGCCGCCATTGGACTCTGGAGCATTGGAAATGCGTCGTCTGGAGTGATGAATCACGCTTCACCATCTGACAGTCCGACGGACGAATCTGGGTTTGGCGAATGCCAGGAGAACGCTACCTGCCCCAATGCATAGTGCCAACTGTAAAGTTTGGTGGAGGCGGAATAATGGTCTGGGGCTGTTTTTCATGTTTCTAGACGATTCTGTGCTTCCAATTTTGTGGCAACAGTTTGGGGAAGGCCCTTTCTTGTTTCAGCATGACAATGCCCCCGTGCACAAAGTGAGGTCCATACAGAAATGGTTTGTCGAGATTGGTGTGGAAGAACTTGACTGACCTGCACAGAGCCCTGACCTTAACCCCATCGAACACCTTTGGGATGAATTGGAACACCGACTGCAAATAAGGAATAATCGCACAACATAAGAGTGGAGGCTGTTATAGCAGCAAAGGGGGGGACCAACTCCATATTAATAGCCATGATTTTGGAATGAGATTTTTGAACTGTGCTTCCGCAGAGGTAGGGGAGCCAGCAGGCCAGAGGTGGATGAACGCAATGCCCTCGTTTGGGTGTAGGGAGTGATCAGAGCCTGAAGGTACGGAGGTGCCGTTCCCCTCACAGCTCCGTAGGCAAGCACCATGGCCTTGTAGCAGATGCGAGCTTCAACTGGAAGCCAGTGGAGTGTGCGGAGGAGCGGGGTGACGTGAGAGAACTTGGGAAGGTTGAACACCAGACGGGCTACGGCATTCTGGATGAGTTGTAGGGGTTTAATGGCACAGGCAGGGAGCCCAGCCAACAGCGAGTTGCAGTAATCCAGACGGGAGATGACAAGTGCCTGGATTAGGACCTGTGCCGTTTCCTGTGTAAGGCAGGGTCATATTCTCCGAATGTTGTAGAGCATGAACCTACAGGATCGGGTCACCGCCTTGATGTTAGCGGAGAACGACAGGGTGTTGTCCAGGGTCACGCCAAGGCTCTTCGCACTCTGGGAGGAGGACACAACGGAGTTGTCAACCGTAATGGGAGATCATGGAACGGGCAGTCCTTCCCCAGGAGGAAGAAGCAGCTCCGTCTTGCCAAGGTTCAGCTTGAGGTGGTGATCCGTCATCCACACTGATATGTCTGCCAGACATGCAGAGATGTCATTGTAGTCTATCATTTCACTTCCTCTAGCTGTGAGAACCATGGCATGAGCATGGGCTGACTTGACATTGCTGTACCGCAGCTGAATAGCCTGCCAGCAGCCTACCAAAGGTTGCACCGTGTCCATTACAATGTCGAAAAACTAAACTCAAGTCCAAACCGTTCAATAGTTAGGCTATCCATATTACCAGAGATTAATCTTATTCTTTGTATTTCTATGGCGGATTCATGGAAGATGACAAAACTTTGGAGATAACAATACATGTCAAAGTCAAATATACTGGCTTCCCCTATTCATCTTTGGCAAAGCTTTCCCTAAATGCATGTTATGAGAAATCCAGCTCCAGAACCAGCCATAGCCTAGCCAGCTGGCTAATCTTTTGAATAAGGTATAGTAAAAAAAAAAAGCTACAACAGATACCATTAGCTAGCTAGATAAGGTTAGTATGCTAGCTAGCTACACTGACGCTGTCAGTGCCCCTACTTGTTGTTATTTCTCCACTCCACGTGGAAATCACCACAACGTTCCCACCCCTAATTCGCGAATATGTATTAGCAGCCTTTGTGATTCTGTCTCTGGTGGGGGCCTTTAAAACAATAGATGTTGATGACATCGCAAATGCTATATACAGTGGGGAGAACAAGTATTTGATACACTGCCGATTTTGTAGGTTTTCCTACTTACAAAGCATGTAGAGGTCTGTAATTTTTATCGGACGGAATCTAAAACAAAAATCCAGAAAATCACATTGTATGATTTTTAAGTAATACATTTGCATTTTATTGCATGACATAAGTATTTGATCACCTACCAACCAGTAAGAATTCCGGCTCTCACAGACCTGTTAGTTTTTCTTTAAGAAGCCCTCCTGTTCTCCACTCATTACCTGTATTAACTACACCTGTTTGAACTCGTTACCTGTATAAAAGACACCTGTCCACACACTCAATCAAACAGACTCCAACCTCTCCACAATGGCCAAGACCAGAGAGCTGTGTAAGGGCATCAGGGATACAATTGTAGACCTGCACAAGGCTGGGATGGGCTACAGGACAATAGGCAAGCAGCTTGGTGAGAAGGCAACAACTGTTGGCACAATTATTAGAAAATTGAAGAAGTTCAAGATGACGGTCAATCACCCTAGATCTCACCTCGTGGGGCATCAATGATCATGAGGAAGGTGAGGGATCAGCCCAGAACTACACGGCAGGACCTGGTCAATGACCTGAAGAGAGCTGGGACCACAGTCTCAAAGAAAACCATTAGTAACACACTACGCCGTTATGAATTAAAATCCTGCAGCGCACGCAAGGTCCCCCTGCTCAAGCCAGCGCATGTCCAGGCCCGTCTGAAGTTTGCCAATGACCATCTGGATGATCCAGAGGAGGAATGGGAGAAGGTCATGTGGTCTGATGAGACAAAAATATAGCTTTTTGGTCTAAACTCCACTCGCCGTGTTTGGAGGAAGAAGAAGGATGAGTACACAACCCCAAGAACACCATCCCAACCGTGAAGCATGGAGGTGGAAACATCATTCTTTGGGGATGCTTTTCTGCAAAGGGGACAAGACGACTGCACCGTATTGAGGGGAGGATGGATGGGGCCATGTATCGCGAGATCTTGGCCAACAACCTCCTTCCCTCAGTAAGAGCATTGAAGATGGGTCGTGGCTGGGTCTTCCAGCATGACAACGACCCAAAAGACACAGCCAGGGCAACTAAGGAGTGGCTCCGTAAGAAGCATCTCAAGGTCTTGGAGTGGCCTAGCCAGTCTCCAGACCTGAACCCAATAGAACATCTTTGGAGGGAGCTGAAAGTCCGTATTGCCCAGCGACAGCCCCGAAACCTGAAGGATCTGGAGAAGGTCTGTATGGAGGAGTGGGCCAAAATCCCTGCTGCAGTGTGTGCAAACCTGGTCAAGACCTACCTACAGTATGATCTCTGTAATTGCAAACAAAGGTTTCTGTACCAAATATTAAGTTCTGCTTTTCTGATGTATCAAATACTTATGTCATGCAATAAAATGCAAATTAATTACTTAAAAATCATACAATGTGATTTTCTGGATTTTTGATTCCGTCTCTCACAGTTGAAGTGTACCAATGATAAAAATTACAGACCTCTACATGCTTTGTAAGTAGGAAAACCTGCAAAATCGGCAGTGTATCAAATACTTGTTCTCCCCACTGTAGGCCTAAATAGTATCGTTCATCATATGACTTATAAAGTATGGGTACATTTAATTTGCGCTGTTAAACCTATCCTTTGGAATGACTTTGATAACAGTGAATCTATTTAGTTATTAAGAGTTCTCAATAATAATTCTCATGATAGCATATTGGTAGTAGTGACAATGACAAATATCAAAGCTGGGCATGGTTAAAACCATGGATGGGAGACCAAATGGATAGCTGTAGATAGATTCACTCTCCAGTAGGAGATGCTGCCCAGCCTATAGTTTTTTTTCTGATAGTGGATATAACGTTGGTGATCTGACGTTGTTTCAACGGTACAAATTCAACATATTTTATACAAGGTGTGTATATGTAGATTTATTTTCCTCCGTGATCACATAATCCTGTGGTTGAAATATCACCCTCTAAACTGCAGTTTACGTTGTGAATTGTTTTCATCCAATGTATTTTCCATACAGATCTCACGTCACAATACATTGAGAAATTACGTTGAAACAACGTTGATTCAATCAGTTTGTGCCCAGTGGTCAGACAAGATGCAAAACCCAAACCCATTTCCTGCCTTTGTGTTGGCGGAGTACCAAGTGGAAATGACTAAATGGTTCGCAGCATGGAAGTTAAATACACTAGGTCAACAACAACCTGTCTTAAGGGGATAAGAGTAAAACGGGTAGTCTTACTATTAATGAAACCTCTTTATTCTGTCATCCACAAGGCCTCAACTAAACAAAGGAACCGTTCTAAGCTTGTATAACAGACATGGCTATTTGGCTAGCTAGGCCTATAGAGAGGCAACTCGCTCGCACACTAAATGACAAGCAATTGTCTAAGCCGTGACCATAATCAATACTATGCTATCCGTGAGTGTGCACTATATGGCTAAATACACTTCATAACATAAGTAATGAGATTGAAAGCAGTTTTCTTACCAAGCTGCTGGTGGGCTGTTTCATCTGCTTTTGAAAGTGAAACTGTGCTTAACAGACAAATGATATGAATGCTTTGACTGGAAAGAGAAAGTGGAAGGAGAGTGGAAAAGAGAGAGACCAGTGAAACTTAACTCTAGTAATGTTTGCTGAGGCAGTGAGTAGTGTTAGCCTAAACGTATGCCTACAGTAAAAATGTTTGAATGATGTAGAAATTAGATAAGATTTTAACTCATTGGAATGATTCTACTTTTATCAGCAGAATGTTAATGTTATGAGAGTTTAGCTTCGAACATACAGTACATATCTTTCTTTGTTTGGAGTTCCATAAATGCATTCCTCAATAGAATTCAAGGTGCAGGGGCAGTCCCTAGCAAGGGGAAGGGTGATGTAAGATTATCTACGGTAGGACAAAGTCTGCTAGTTGTATGTATATAAGCTAGGCCCAGATACAGATAACTGGCGTAGTTATGGAGGAAGGAAACAATGGTCAAATTCCTTGTGTGGGCTGTTGTTTTGCACTTTCAAAAGTGAACAATTCTAAATGTGTACGAGATCGCCATAGAAGCTCTGTATAAAAAAAAAACTAGAACCGACTGATAGTTTTGAGATCTTACGCAACTTTTTACAAAAAGAGTTGAAGTCTTTTTTTCAGTACTAGTACAATAAGACTTTTGTAAGACCTTTTCATTCCCGTATGGGTTCTTCACTTGTCACTGCTTGAATGTGCTTCAACTCGTTTTTCCTGTTTCGCACCCTGTGAACCTCCTCCCTTCACTATAGAGAAATCAACATGGCACAGCCTTCTCTGCTCAGACTAAAGAAAAGATCTAACCACATATCCATAGCATGTACCTGTGTGCTGCAAGACTGTGTTAGCCTACTGAGAAAAAGCCTAGGCATTAGCTTAGGGAGCCAACACAAGTTCATCATGTGAGTGTGGTGCCAATTCTGCCAAACCACCTCAGTTACATTATATTAAGCCCTCACTTCATTGTTTTAGAAAGGGAACACAGGCTGTGTTGGGCTTGGCAGTTGGCACCAAAGTATGGAAAGTCCTCCAACTCACTGAAAGACTGGAAATTCCTCACAGGAGGATATTGCTAATTGTTTTGGGTGTGCCTTGGTACTGTGATACTAAGGACGTTGTACAACATGGCTCCCATGTCCTTGACATTTATGTGAGATCAGGTGTATAAAAAACATTTTAGGGTGTGGCTTTGGTTCCCTAGACTGTCATGGTTGGCCATTGGGAAAATGAGCACAAATAACAACATATTCACACTTGGAAATAAACCAAAACCCTTTGACTGTGTGAGGCATTTATTAAATAAAATGTTTATTATAATATTCATATTTCCACTTCTCAAATTAAATATTTGAATGTAATTAAACCTACATATTTTTATTCCTTGTACTACAAATATTTAGTTCAGCTAACATCTTTCAAGGTCATCAAGCCTTGTTCTGCACTGAATATTGTTGTTTTGGTTTTATCAGAGAGAGGATGTTGGCACACTCACCACCCCATGTTCTTGCTGTGGGAACAGACGTGACAATGATGTGAATTTTCTTGTTAACTCAGGTGTGTACGTGTCCAAGTACTCCGACTGCCTGGACCTAAACCGCTGGTATCACGGGAAGTCTGGATACATCGCCATCATCAGGCTCACCAAGGTATTTACATAGTTACGGACCACAGAGGCGTTGCGATGGGTAACTTCACTGTTGAAGGTTCTTCTCTAGGTTATTTCCTTCTAAGGAGTTTTTCCTTGCCACCGTGCTTCTGCTTGAAATTTGGGGTTTAGGTCGAGTTACTGCAATGCACTTTGTGACAACTGCTGATGTAAAAAGGGCTTTATAAATACATTTGATTGATTTGTTTGTTGAAAGGGCTTGTCATTAATATTCTCTCTTTTTTGGGGGGGGGGGGGTTCTACAGGGCAGAGTGAGAGAGGTGACAGAGAACTACACAGTAAACTACACCTCTCCCTCTAATGGGTTTGACTGTCATGTATCAGAGCAGCTCAGTGCTGTGTCAGCCAACACCAGCTCCTTCCTGGCCTTCGAGAGAACACAGGTGAGATTCCTCCATCCATCATCCCTCTATCATTCATCCCTCCGTGTCAATCTGTGTACCTTTCCAGTAGGAAAAACTAGTTGTAATGAGGTCATTTCAATCAGCTTTGCCTGCTGGGTTTCGGGTTGTGTTGCCTTCAATTGTCAAATGTGCACTCCGTGTGTCAAATAAAATAAAACAGAAGTTAATTTAGTAAGCTACCTCTCTAATGAAAAAAGTTATGATTTATTTGTGTTTTTGCTCCAGGCATTTAGAAAAGTTTATAAGATACACCTGCAGATACAGTAGTGATAAATACAATACAATAGCAAAGCTGAAGAGATTTGTGTTGGTCTTTGCAGTACTACATGTATGAGCTGCCTGGAGGAAGGGCTGACTCGACAGTCCAGCCTCCCAGCCATGCCTGCCCATTCGCTATAGTGGCTTTCTCCTATTGGGATACCAAGACACCCGCATCAGAGGAGCAGGAGAAAAGGTACATTTCCCTCTTTCTCCTCATGGGGTTTTTACGTTTTTCAGATTCATCGAAAATATTTGATGAAAAGGAACATCTTCTAAAACGTCCAAAATGATTGATCTGTTTCTTCTCTTTTGCAGTGAGGAAGGAAAAACAGGTGAGTAATGAATCAAACTGTTGCAAAGGTGCTTTTGGATAATGTTATGGTGCCGTTCAATGGCATATCATTACTACTACAGTACAGTGCATTCCTACTTTAACTGAATGCATTAAGTTGCTCTGGATAACATTGTCTGCTAAAATGTTAATATGATTACAGTGTTTCACTACTACCCCTGGAGGGGCCAACTCCAAATCAGCTCCCAGGTCTACCATGTGGGTCTGAAGTCCAGCACAGGACCCCTGATCCCAGCTAAACTGTAAGTTCAATGCAACCCTAGTGTGAAGGTTTCTCCCTATGCTATGACTTATAAATACAGTATCTTATAAATATCTCTACAATTTACATGATGTGGGTCGTGTTCAGTAGGGCACACCATAGCAAAACGTTAGGCAACAAAAAACACGTTTAACTACCTGTTTTGATGTGGTAACATAACCTGAGAATGTCATTTTGTTTGATTTCAGTCCAACAGTAATGGCAGTTGACGGAGCCATTAAAATGTCAGATCTGAGGCAGAAATTACCGAAGGCTATATTTGAAACCTGCTTCATCGGGGAAGGTACTGTCATGTTTATGTTTACAAATGTAAATGTAGGCTACTCAAAAGTGGTTTCATTCTGAAAGCATTTTGTTTGAGCAGTGTCACCACAAACTAACCTTCCCAGTACTAGGGTTGCAAAGGGAGGGTATATTACTGAAAATGTTCTAAGTTTACCAGTAAATTACCAGAATTTTCATATCTTTCAAAGATGTTATGTAGTCTATGACAAGACATCAAGTGTCTCTTTTGGGTACTTCAGATTATCACAGGTGTCTGTAATTATCGCTGGCCCTCTGTGTGGCCTTATCACATGTAAAATATATGACAGTATCTGTGTGACCACCATTTGCCTCATGCAGCGCGACACATCTCCTTCGCATAGAGTTGATCAGGCTGTTGATTGTGGCCTGTGGAATGTTGTCCCACTCCTCTTTAATGGCTGTGCGAAGTTGCTGGATATTAGCGGAAACTGAAACATGCTGTCGTACATTTACATCCAGAGCATCCCAAACATGCTCAATGGGTGACATGTCTTGTGAGTATACAGGCCATGGAAGAACTGGGACATTTTCAGCTTCCAGGAACTGTGTACAAATCCTTGCGACATGGGGCGGTGCATTATCATGCTGAAACATGAGGTGATTTCGTCACGGTATCTCTGTGCATGCAAATTGCCATCGATAAAATGCAATTGTGTTCGTTGTCCGTAGCTAATGCCTGCCCATACCATAACCCCACCGCCACCATGGGGCACTTTTTTCACAACGTTGACATCAGCAAACCGCTCGCCCACATGCCATACACGTGGTCTACGGTTGTGAGGCCGGTTGGACGTACTGCCAAATTCTCTAAAACGACATTGCGGGTCGCTATTTGAAGAATCTCAAATATAAAATATATTTTGATTTGTTTAACACTTTTTTGCTTATTACATGATTCCATGTGTTATTTCATAGAAAATAGTAAAAAATAAAGAAAAACCCTTGAATGAGTAGGTGTGTCCAAACTTTTGACTGGTAGTGTATATATTTTTAAGTTATTCAACTATAAATTACCAAAGTTACGATAGATTACCATAAATTACCGGTAGCTTTGCAACCCTACCCAGGACATTTTTATGTGTTGATTATCTGAATATTTATTCAGCTATGACAACACCCAATTTATTGTGTGAGCTTTATTTGCATTCTTTACCATTGAATTATATTGAGTTGTACGGTTTTTCAGTTTCTCTGGAAGGAATGGGTTGGAGTCTGTATGAGCTGGCACCCAGTGATGCTGAGGACACCTCTCTCTCTCAGCTCACACAGGAGCTCAAGGAGAAAGACCTGGTGAGCTTTCATTGTTTGTAAAGTAGACTGGCAGGTTATTGGAAGACCGGAATGCAGTTCATTGTTGCCTTGTCAGACCTTGATTCTAATAAATCTACTTTTTCTTACCAACAGGCCCTCACAATACAACTGAATGATAGTGGTTTCCTTATACTGTTACATTCATCTCACTTCCTCACATATGAAGGTAAGACAGAACCTGTATACGCAACATACTGCATTTAAATATATTATAGATAGAAGCTAAATATCTAACATTACATTATAATTGTACATTTCAGATGCTGGGTCCAATAAGCCAGAGGTATTGCAGGGGATGTTTGTGTTTCCGGATTCCAGAGCTATACAGAGAGGTAATTCAAAGTATGTGTGTGTGTGTGTGTCCAACACCTATGCCCTAGTATACAGTAGGGTTTTTGTCTATTCTTTTATAATTTATCCTTACGCAATGTCATTTTTTTTACTACAGACACCAAGATCTGCTCGAAGAAGCCCTCCCTCTCACCAGAGGGCCTTCAGGTGGTGCCTGCACTGAACTACGCAGAGACAGAGGTGGAAAAGTGCCTCCCTGAACAGAGTGGGGAGCTACTTGGTTTACTAGAGCGACATATCCAGAGCTATGCTGCCCTCATCCACCCTGGGCTTACTATCAGTCCATCCAGGGAAGCCAGCATCTTCCCAGATCAGTTTGATGTTCCTGACGCCCTCAAATACCTCTACTCCACCCCAAAGTGGACTGAAATGGGATGGAAATGTCTCGAGTCTTACTTCCACCAGCCGGGCTCCTTCGAGCTCTCTGTGTCCAGGGCCACGGAGCTCCTGGCGGCTGGGCGAGAGGAGCGAGGGGATGAGCCAGATGATGACGTCTACTACTGTCTGTCATCTCCAGAGGGCCCCCCCATGACTCCTGCTAGTTTGGGTGGCCCAGAGGAGGAGCAGTCAGGGGGAGAGTCACCAGGAGACACAGCCACATATATTAGTAATGCACCTGCAGTGTCTACGGAGGACTTTGAGAAACCTGGTATGACCAAGGCAGATGGTAATGCACCAAAGAAAAGAGTAGAGGAAGGGAAGAACTTGCCTTCAAAGGAGGTGCAAGAGAAGGTGCAACATGTGCAACCCGAGGAGATGCAGGGGGAAGTGCCTTCTGATCTTACCAAGCCCGCAGTCCCTGCAGGGGACTTCGGGAAACCTGTCTTGAAGAAGGCCGACAATAATGCACCAGGGACAACTTTGATTCCAAAAGAGGTGCAGAAGGAGCTTCCCTCTGATCTTTCCCAGTCTGTTGTGTCGGCAGATGATTCTGGGAAACCTGGGAAGAACAAGGCCGACTGTAATGTACCAGGGGTAGGAGTAGAGGATGAAGGGACACATTTGAACCCAGAGGAAGTCCAAGTGGATGGGCAAAAGGAGGTGAAAGAGAAGATGCCTTCTGATCTTTCACAGCCTGCAGTCTCTGCAGAACACTTGAGGAATACTGGCCCGGCAGCGTTGGGGAAGGCAGACTGTAAAGCACCAGAGGTAGGAGTAGCGAATGAAGGGACAAACTTGCACCTGAAGGAGGTGCAAAAGGATATGCCCTCTGGTCTTACACAGCCTGCAGTCTCTACTGAGGAATTGAAGAAACCTGGGCCGGCCCTGGCGACCCAGCCCAACAGTAAAGCACTAGAGGCAGGAGTAGAGGATAAAGGGGGAAATTTGCCTCAGAAGGAGGTGCAAGAGGAGGTTCCCTGTGATCTTTCCCAGCTTGCAGTGTCAGCAAAGGCTTTTGCGATAGCCAGTGTGACAGTGATGACCAAGGCCACAGAGGTGACAGAGGTTTCAACCTCACCTGCATCAGGTGACCTCCCAACAGTGCTAGTCATCACTGCCACTGAAAGAACTGCAGCCGTTTTACCTCATAATGAGAACCTTGGCTTGATCAATACAGAGTCGGTCACAAAGAACTCGTCCAGTTTGCCACCAGCCAAAGTACAGGACAAGGGTGGAAGTACTCTCAATGGGCAACGTGTCAAGGCCAATGAGGTCAGTAATTTCTCTATATCTGATTGGAGGAAACGGCCAAGGAAACGGCGTAGATTTAGCGGGTTGGGTAAAAGGGTCTTGAGGTCTTCAGCAGCTGATTTTGAAGAGGAAGAAACCGAGAAGAAGGGACATTTGGATTCAAGTAAAGTCTACTCATTGAAAAAGTGGAAGGAAAGGACAGATTTAGTTCAACTTAACGCATGGAAAAATAAGGTTCGTCCATTGAAAATGCAGAGGGAACTGATGAATTTGACCCTAGATCCCCCATTGAAAAAGAAGGAAAGAATGGATGTAACCCAGGTTCACCCAATGAAAATGCAGAGGGAAGTGATGAATTTGATCCAAGATCTGCCTTTGAAAAAGAAGAAGGAAAGCAAGGATTCAATTAACTTTTACCCACTCAAAAGTAAGGAAAGTATGGATAAAATTCACGACGGCCACCCATTGAAAAAGAAGACAGAGCAGTGGGACTTGAAGGCGATCATCTCCGAATGCGGTAGAATCTTTGTCCCTCATGGTTCAGAAGTTATCGCCAAGGATATAGAATCTTTGAAAGTTATGGGGAAAGTGATAGATCACAAACAATGTGCTGACGAGATGATGGTTGAAGCTTGTATCGAAGTCCCCCAACCCATACAAACAGGAGATGAACCTGGCCTAGAGTTGATAAAGTCAGATGAGAACAAAGATTCACACATATTGAGTGCAGACGGTAAAGACCATCCACCAGAGGTCAAAATGGTTGATGTCGACAAGATGGCCTCTCAGAACCCCTCAGAACTGGTCCAGATCAAAGACATGGATTTTCCTTCCTTAGAAAAACACAAAAAGAAGCGTAAATTTGTTGCAATATCCCTCAGTAAACTAAAGACTGTTTTTTCAAGAGGGGGAAAGAGGAAAACACCTCTCAATCCTGTTTCAGAAGATCAAACGTTACCATTGGACAAGAAAAGCAAGGCAGATACTGGCATGGATGAAATGGAAAGTGTTCATTTGAGTAATTCCAGCAAAGATAGCCCAGACAGAACCACAGGTGCTGCTGAAGTTGCAAAGGAACAGACATTTGGCCTAGACCCAAAGTTTGCACTAGCATTAGGCTTGACTCCTAGGGAGCAAAATGATGCACACAAATCTCCAGAAAAAAGTGATATTCCATTGAAGAAAGACATTCAGAGCAGACTGGACCTGGTCACACCTCAAGACATATCTGACCAAATGTCTGAGGCTTTGCCTAGCTCCCCTTTAGCAACAATCACCGTGACGGGGCGGGGGGGACTCGAAAAGAAACGCAAGCCTGCAGACTCCATAAGGAAAAAATGTAAGTTCCTCTTGGGAAGTCATGTGGTTGCTGTCAACCTCACGTCATGCAAATAACAGAACATGCAGATTGATTTTATTTTGTTCTACTAAACCAAACACTTAATTAGATATTGATATTCTTCATCTTGATAATTAAGTTGTGATTGCAGTTAATATGTGCTGAATTTAAAAAAATATGTTGATTTAATCCTGTTGTCTTGAATTCCTGATGATTCTGTTTCTATATCTCTTTTTCTATCTGAACTGCAAAGCAACACTATGAAGTAATATGTTAATAGCTTCTTACTATTCTGGTCCCAGGTGTGTTTCTGCTGTAGTTGATAAGACAGCACAAACTGATCTTGGACCAGGCTAGCCTCTTGCCACCTCCTTTGCCTCTGCTTTGTCTTGCTGTGTGTCGTGCTACTGTCCCCCAGTTCAATCTATTACAAATCATAAAACAATTTGGTTCAATTTTGGCGAGGAGATTTGAATGCAGGCGACTGCCTTACAACAATTTAATTTCAAAGTATTAACTATCACTATACGCTACTTCGTGTTTTTTGTTTTCATACTGTTTCTTCTGTCTCTTTTCTCTGTTCTCTTTTGTTTCTACAGGGTGGTTGCACTATCACACACCAGCTTCTTTTGAAAATGAGAAAGTAGCACAACCTATATCCTCCCAACTACTGACACTTGACCCTGATGTCAGGCGTGTTGTCAGTAGGGGTAGGCCCCGCACAGTGAAGAAAGATGCCAGTGATGCATCATGCCCACCAGCAGATGCTCTGACCCTATTGGCCGATTTGGCCCTCAGTACCAGTAATGACAAAGTACTGGCACAGCAGCCAGACCACCTGGCTCTTCAGCAACAAGAATGCTGTCCAGGTTTGGTGATAAGTGACAACAGTGTCAAAGATGGTGGCTCTCCTCATGAGCCAGATGGTGAGCCAGAGTCTGTCCTTCATGCTCTGCTGAAGCACCCTTCTGCTGCTAGGCTTAAACTTCCCCCTCAGTCTCCGTCACCCAAGGGGCTGGTGGTGGGGAGTGGGGAGCGGGTTGTGTTAGTCTCACAAGAGCATTCTTACTCACTGCCGCCATCCTCTCTACTATTGGGTTTGTCAGGTTCAATCCTCCAAGTCCCCATTTCGGAGGGACTTCAGCCGCATCACAAGGATATGGTCTATGGTGACGGAACTCAAGCACTACGGGCCTTCCGGTGTCAGGAGCAGGACCAGAACAGGAAGGAACTCGGGGAGGAACCCGGAATGGCTCCAGAATCCATGAGCAAAGGAATCGGGCGCAGGCAGAAGTTCCGTCGCTTACGGCAGTTCATCGAAAAAGACGGCTCAGTTCAAGTGACAAGGCTGTGGAAGGAAAACTATGACTTTAATTCAGACAGCAAGTTTACCAACAACCCAATGGATATAACAGTTATTAGAGCCCTACATGGGTATGTACTTACAATTTGTAATTTACACTGAACAAAAATATAAACACAACATGCAACAATTTCAAAGATTTGACAAAGTTACAGTTCATATAAGGAAATCAGTCAATTGAATTACATTAATTAGGCCCTAAACGATGGATTTCACATGACTGGGAATACAGATATGCATCTGTTGGTCACAGATACCTTAAAAAAAGGTAGAGGCGTGGATCAGAAAACCAGTCAGTATTTGGTGTGACCACCATTTGCCTCATGCAGCGTGACACATCTCCTTCAAATAGAGTTGATCAGGCTGTTGATTGTGGCCTGTGGAATACTGTCCTACTCCTCTTCAATGGCTGTGCGAAGTTGCTGGATATTGGCGGAAACTGGAACACGTTGTCGTACACGGTTGTGAGGCCGGTTGAATGTACTGCCAAATTCTCTAAAACTACATTAGAGGTGGCTTATGGTAGAGAAATGAACATTCAAATCTCTTGCTACAGCTCTGGTGGACATTCCTGCAGTCAGCATGCCAATTGCACGCTTCCTAAAAACTTGAGACAGCTGTATCATTGTGTTGTGTGACAAAACTGCACATTTTAGAGTGGCCTTTTATTGTCCCCAGCACAAGGTGCACTTGTGTAATGATCATGCTGTTTAATCAGCTTCTTGATATGCCACACCTGTCAGGTAGATGGATTATCTTGGTAAAGGAGAAATGCTCACTAACAGGGATGTAAACAAATTTGTGCAAAAATGAGAGAGATAAGCTTTTTGTACGTAAGGAACATTTCTGGGATCTTTTATTTCAGCTCATGAAACATGGGACCAACACTACATTTTGCATTTATATTTTTGCTCAGTGTAAATAAAAATATATTCAGTTTGATTAGTTATGCATCTAGTAGTTAGAAGAAAGGACAAGTGAAGAGTTTGCTAGAGACAGAAAGCTTATTCTATAATACTCTATGTATCTGTGACTAATTGTTTGACTGGAATTTGATCTTTCTCTGTCCCTTTCCTTCATCCCTCTGCACTCCCTCTCTGTACAGCCCATGGGATTTCAACATTGAGGACACAAACGAACAGGTTCAGCTCATCATCCACATGTGGATAGGTCTTTTCTACAGCAGGTCCACTGCTAGGTTCTTCCAGGCAGACCCAAGTCTTCCATGTTTGGAAGAAAAATATTCTACAGAAGTGGATCATGGAATGGTACAAACCCAGGTTCCATCTGAGACCAAGACAAGTTCCCCTGCTTATATTGCCCCTTCCAGGATACCAGAACCTGAAGTTCTGGACCTTAGTAACACGGGTGAAAAAGAAGCACAACCATTAAGCTTGGAACCTGAGGTATTAGACCTTTCAATGAAAACAGCCTCGGCTGTGTTAGATGTCACTGTAGACACAAAGGATTCCCCTGAGTCCAAGCAAAGACTAGATTTTAAAAATCCTCCAGTATACCAACCAGAAAGTGGACTCCACAAGGAAACCATCTCTTTTCACAAACAAAGTACAGGTCTTGAGTTAAAGGTTAGAAAACAAATATATATGTAAAGCACAAATGTTTTCCAATAAATATTTTGTTGACATGATACACATTTTAGTTTTGCAATGATTCATTGTTTATCTTGCTATTCTCTTTTCTCTACAGGTTTACAGAGACCGTGTGGACAGCATGATGTCAGACAACGCGAGTGAACTTGATGATGATGAAACGAACAACCATGAGATTGACAGCAATGGTACCCTCCAAAATGATGTGTCCCCTAACAGAAGAACTTTGGAAAGTGATGGATCGTACATTCTCTTGTGTGAACAGACAGCAAGTGTGTACATTAATCAAGAAAAGGTCCTGGAGACTCAAAGAACTGCCCAGGGTTTGGAGGGCAAAGCCGAAAAGGAAATCCAAAAGGAGGAGAGGAGCCATGATGGAGAACAAAACATAGCAAGTCTTAAAACCATGGAATCTAAAGATGTTGATAAGGCACAACGAGTTAAAGATAACGATTCAGTCAAAACAATGTCATGCACAGAGGTGCTGGGGGATGGTGACGTTACCAACATGGCTGACAGAGTTGAGCGTAATGCAAGTGAACCCAGAGATGGGTCTTACGTTGCCATCTGTGATGGCAGTGAGTCCAAAAAGGAGACGCACAAAGCATATCATAGCGTGAAGGATTCTGTTGAAGCAGCAAAACCAGAGGCAGTGCATGTTGGGAAAGACACCACAAACAAGGAAATCAATGCACAACCTGCTGGGAATGTTGGGAATGATTCCATTGACAAGGCACTCAAAGCAATGCATGATGAAAAGATTCCCAAAGATGTGTCACGGGATGATGGGAACTCCAAAAATGAGGTGCAAACTGCATTGCAGGAAGGGAATGATACTAGAGATGAGGCACTATCAGCGGTGAATTATGAAAAAGATTCAGGAGATAGAGCAGCACCTGCAGTGTGTGATGGGAATAATTCTGTGGCTGAGACGCCACCAGAGATATCACATAATGAAAATGATTCCCATAAAGAAACACCGCCAGTGGCGCATGATGGAAATGATTCGAGAACCACGACACTACCTGTGAAATTGTATAGCAAGCTGTATATAGACAAAGAACCCATTGCAGTGCATGATAGAAATGCTTCCACCGATGAGGTACTACCAATGGAGCAGGTTGGGGATGTTTCTGTTGGCACTACTAGAGTACTGCCAGAGATGCAGGGTGAGATTCAATCTAAAGATGAGGTACTGACCACGAGAGTATTTCCAGTATGTGATGGGAACACGCCTTGTGTAGGTGAGTTCGACACACCCATTCAGTCCAAGGATGTTTCTGGAGAGGCTAAAACAGTAGTTAAGACTGATTTCAATGGGATTAGGGATTCTAAGGATCAGAAACAGATATCAATGCCGGGTCAGAGTAAATCTGATATTGACACACAAGGGCCCCAACATTCTCAAGACGAGACATCAGAAATACTGACAGGCCAGGTAGAAATACCACTGATTCAAGTAGGATTTCCCAGGGAAGATATCACACACAAAGATGTTCTACATTCACACAGTCAGACATCAGAGACAGTGCGTGCTCAGATTGAAATACCATTTATTGGAGTAGAATTACCATTCATTGAAGTAGAGAAGGATAGCAAGGAAATCATGCACACAGAGTTGCACGACACTCACTCATGTCAGAAAGAGACACCAATCTCTTCAGTGTGTCATAGGGATCATTTGTTTTCAGATGAAATGCTTACAATAGTTTCAAAGGGAACTGAATCTGTCAGTAGATGCCCAACCCCTACCGTGGACGATGTGCCGTATGGTTACATCCCGATTCCTGACATCTACAGTGGCTCCTTGGCTATCTGCGATACCGGTGGGGTCAGCAAACCCCTCAGCACCAGGGAAGGTCACAGCAGATGCCCAACGCCTACACAAGATGAGCCACCTTTCGTTACAGAATTGTCTTATGACCATCACACACCGAAGACTGTTTTGTTGCCCGATTCGAAAGACACCAACATGCCCAACCTCAATAGTGGTCTTGCTCTTATTGAAAAGGAAAAGGCTCATGGTGAACCACATGAACCAAGTGTTAGTAGCAGCTCTAGCTCTGTAGAGAATATGTTGCATAAATCCAGCAACAACAATAACAAACCAAATCATCTGGAAGCCATTGGTAATCAGTTGTCTCAAGTATGGACTGAACCCCGCAAGAAGCCAGTCGCCACTAGCACACCTCTCAACACTCCCTATACTTCTTCAAAGGAAAAAAACGATTACAATCCTTACTCAAATATGCGATTTACCCCTGCTGAACAAGACCTGTGTGCTCTTTCAAGTCACGATTCACTGCATAGGATCCCTGACTCCTCTCCCAAAACCCATAGCACCTTAACAGAGAAAGCAGCATTCTCTGTGCCATCAATCCACCTTGAAGTCCTGTCCAATGAATCAACAGAAAGAACATTAACTCGGGACTTGAGTGAAATCGCTTTGGAAGGAGACACTAACTTGTGTCCTGACTCAGAGATTATCATACAGTCCATCCGTCAGAGTATCCCAGGAGTAAGTGGACCTACAGCAGCTTCTCAGAACCTTTCAGTGCACAACTTTACTGACCACCATCCATACAGCCAACAACCTGCCATGGCTGTGAATCTCTCGAAGAGTGAAGACAGCAGAGGAGAGTACAGCTGGAAAGAAGGACAAACGGATATTGACCCTATGTCTTCAGATGTTCTCAAAAGCAAACAAACCGATGCCCCTGTCCACTCAAACACTAATGCTTACCCGTATAACACACCATATGTCACTGAGATGAGGAGACAGATTGCAAGTTTGCAAGATTATGAGGATGTTATGGATGAAAGTGAGGGGCCTGCTGTAGATCAAGACAACATTGAATCTAGTCTAGAGACAAATTGGGTATCAGATGACAAACACGCAAGTAGTACATCCCGGGTGAATAAAACAAAACTTGACTTCATCAATTCTTTACGCCAGTATCAGCAATGGGAGAAAAGGGAATTTGATGACGTTTTGGACTTCAGCAAGCAAGGCACTTCCTCTTCGGTCACCTTCCAGTCTGAAGAATCAGACAAAATATTTACCTGTATGGAAGAGAACAAACAGGACTGGTTAAAGTATTGTAGGCCAGAAAGGAGTGGGAACACCTCCAAAAGCCACGAGGAAGTCTCCTCAGTTGCAAAGCCATGCCTAGTTACAGTTTTGGATCACAAAGGAAACAGAATCACCTATGAAAACTGTCCCGTTCTGAAACCGTCAACAAGCATGCACACATGGACAGTTCCAAACTCAAACAGACAGGGCTCGAGCAGTTTTGTGGAGTTCTCCAAGAGGTGGGATGATACACATAACGCTGATGAATCTGACCTCACTCAGTCTTCTATGGATCTGGAGACCCTTATCTTCTCAGAGAGAATGAACCAGATGCTAAAACGTAAAAGGAAGAGCAGCAGCAGCAGGTACAACCAATCAAGACACCACAGGTCAAATGTAGAAGAAAGAGCTTCCTCCTGTAGCCCGGCTGTGACAGTGCACTTTTCCAGCCTGCAGGAACAGGAAAGCTCGGAAGACCACTGGGAAGGACTACCTTCATTCGCAGGGCAGAAGTTGAAAGTAGATATGCCTGAAAGGACAGGTATGCCTGAAGAAACAGACAGAGATATGCCACAGCATCTTCAAAAACTCTCCTATACAAAGGGCAGTGAGATGACGCATGTCAACGTTTCAGATCTGGTTGCGGAAAGTTTCAAGGCATACCATGCCATGATGACTGCGGTCTGTGCAGGCAGAAAGTACCCACACAGAACTGAGAGACTCAAGAGGGAAGAAGCAAAGAGAAATAGTTCGCCAAAGTCTCGAGCCCCAAGCAAAGACAAAGACTTCTGTGGGCAGATGAAGAAGGACATGTATGACAACCTGCATGATAATCTGAACTCTGTTGTGAAACAGTCATGTAAGAACAAGTTCAGGTTCTACATATTGGTGACATCAGATGACCCATTCTTCAAAGAGACAAAGGTAAGATTAACGTAAATGTTAGCCTGGTTCTAGATCAGTTTGTGCTGTCTTGCCAACTTCTATGGTCAGTGTCAAATGACCATAGCCTATGCAGCGCAAACAGATCTGGGACCAGGGTACGAAACCGTACCATAAGTTGTACAACAATGAAAGCCAAAGTTCATTCTTGCGCCATTTTTAAAAACTAGCTTGTTATATTTGTAGGAGCTGTTAGAAGCAGAAGGCCACATAGCGGTACAACAGTCTCAATTCTGCCTTGGAAAGGATAGTTCCTCGTCCCCTCTATACATTATCTTGAGGAATGAAGATATTGCTGAACACATTTGTGAGGTAAGACTGTTATACCATTGTAGACTTATAAAAGTATCTCAAACTCCCGGAAAAGGATAAGCAATCCAGGTTCGAAATCCAGCCTTTTTGAATCGGTATACGTTGGATTACATTATCATCGTAATTTTTAGATTTCTGTTTTACCCTCAGGTCCCTCACTTGCTCGAATTGAAGAAGGCTCAGAATGTGTTGTTTGCTGGTATTGATCGTCCTGATGACATTGTGAACCTGACCCACCAAGAACTCTTCAGCAAAGGCGGTTTTGTGGTGTTTGAGGGAGCAGCACTGGACACACTGAGTCTCAGTATGGGCGCTTCCCGATTTGCAAGAGACCATATATAAAAGTGCATTTGTTACATTTCATTATGTTTTCACAACTGTCAATCTCTACACGCAACTATGATGTCCCTGGTCCCAGATCAGTTTGTGTCATCTTGCCAACTGCTATGGCCGATGTTTGGCATGAAACAGATCTGGGGCCAGGCTATAATGTCCCCTCCTACATTGCATAGATGTGTATGACTCACTCAATGTCTCTTTCTTTCTCTTAGGCAACATTAAGAAAATGTCTGTTTTCCTGGAGGGGCTGAGTAAAAAGGGGAAGTGGAAATGGCTCTTGCACTATAGAGACAGCCGGATGCTGAAAGAGAACGCACGGTAAGCTTATTCTTGCGCTTGTAAAAGTTCAATCACGGTGCAGGTAGTCAAAGACACTGTGTTTGTAAGAATCCAGGCCAGAGTAATTTTTGTAATTCAAGGAAACTAATGTTCCCATAAAGATTCTAACTAACTGCCGGAACTGGTCATCCCTCCTTCTACAGGTCTAGTGCTGAGGCACAGGGTAAAAAGAGCTTCATGGACGTCTGCCAGGAGGCTGGAATGGTGGAGGTCTTACCCTACCATGAATGTGACGTCATTTCAAGGGCACGACCCAACTACCTCCACTGTCTAGTCCGCCTGCAGGTCCAGAATGTATCAGCTCGTCTACCTGTATTTATAACTGGTGAGAGATCAGACTTTTTCCCTATACTGCATTCGTTAAGATTAGCTACATTTATGGTATTTTGGGGTTAATTAGTAGGACCTTTAACATTGAAAGAAATTCTATGTTTGCAATACATAGGGATTCTTAGTCGCAAGAATGCTAGTTTCTGACAATTATTTCTTTATTTTGCAGACACAACGGCAGACAAAGCGTTTGCAAAACATGGGATATTCACAATGAATATTAACTCCTTCCTGCTGATTTCTCAGAGTGACACTTGCACTATTTCTTAAGCTGATGGGGAAGCCTTCGACAGAAGTCTTCAATACATCAAATTCAAATCACATTTGATTTATAAAGCCCTTTTTATACTGAACAAAAATATAAACGCAACAATTTCAAAGATTTTGCTGAGTTACAGTTCATATAAGGAAATCATTAGGCCCTAATCTATTATGGATTTCACGACTGGGCAGGGGTGTAGCCATGGGTGGTGGGTGGGCCCACACCCACGCCACCCACTTAGTAGCCAGGCCCAGCCAATCAGAATGAGTTTTCCCCCACAAAATGAATTTATTACAGAAATTCAGTGTACATGTATTTTTTTTATTGAACCTTTATTTAACTAGGCAAGTCAGTTAAGAACAAATTCTTATTTACAATGACGGCCTACACCGGCCAAACCCGGATGACGCTGGGAGAATTGTGCACCGCCTTATGGGACTCCCAATCACAGCCAGATTGTTATAGTGCCTGGAACTGAACCAGGGTCTGTAGTGACGCCTCTAGCACTGAGACGCAGTGCCTTAGACCGCTACGCCACTCGGGAGCCCATGATCAACAGCTGTTATTTAAATTAAACCGACTCAAACTTCAAAGAGCAAGCAGAAGAACAGTGGCAAGGGAAACCTTGTAACCTCGAGAGGAACCAGACTCAGAAGGGGAGGCCCCTTTACTCCAAAATCTGCTTTTTAGGGGGTTCTTGGGAGTTTTCTCCTAAGTTTGACACACTGATCTAAATCATTGTGGGGTAAGATAAAACATTTTCTCAATAATTTATGTTTTATATTCATGTTATTGTTTATTGCTGTATTTAAAGCCTTGATTTTCAAAAAGTTTACTTAGAGCAACATTTTGGTTCCTTAGTGTAAATCGTTGCACCATTTCGTTTTAATTTAGTGTAGATTTATTTATTCTTAATCATTTTCTATGACAGGTAGATTCTGTATAGATTAACGATGACAAATGCTTCAATGCAGAGCTCTGTGTTATACTGTATTTGTTCAATCTTGTATTTATTTGTATGTTTGTAAATACATTTATTGCACCTTTGCGGTATAAAGAAATTGACAAAGTGTTCCCCATCTTTTTTCCCCCCATACACGCAGAAAAAAAGAGTGACCATGGTTCTTTTCTCTATTCCAGATAAAATAAATCTTTATTTCACTTAAACAGAGAATAGTGCCTTATGTAAAAATACAATTTATATCACAATTATAGACTACGTATAAACCCCTGAATAAAACTCTTTGGTGACATTCACATGTCTGAATTTGAAGAAACCATGATCGTACACAATGTGATCATTGCATGTTCTCAACAAACTGTCAAATTCATTATTAAAACGCAGCCACCCAAAATTATCCGCATGCCAGTAATAAACATATCTTTATTTTTTCTACAAATATATTTCCATTGTTTTAAAATGGTCATAGATACAGATTCCAACAATGAATTTGGATTATAAACCAGTTTGTTAAGATTTGGAGCTGTCTGGACACTAACATGATACTATCACTGATCACCTGCATCTCCAAAGATGTCGTTCTTTGTGCGCTCCATCTCTGCAAAGTCAAACTCTGTGCCCATCACGCGCTTGTAGATGTCCTTGATGTCATCACAGGTGGTTTCGAAGTGGGTCGTTGCATCATACGTACGGGAGATAAATATCTGCATAGAAGGGGAAAGAGGAAAAAGTTGAACAAATGAAAACGTGTCTACAGGCCTATGTATGAATACGCTATGTAAGTCTATAGCTAGGTTACCATCCAATTGGCGACAGATTTTCATGCGAAAAAAAATTAAAATACACAAAGAAAATTTGTGAATTTTCCCACCAGTGGTACGTTTCTACCAAATTGACTTGTTGCGGATAAAAATCAGTGCATGATGATGTACTGCACACAAAATGTACTTCACGCAAATGTTCATGTACCCAATAAAATTCTAAATTTCAATGCGTTTCCATTGTATTTTAACTCTACCGATAGTTTGGTTAAAAAAAACTTGCGTTATATAGCAAATGTGCCTGCCTCTGGTCTTGGCACCTGCGCTCTAGCCAACAGCTGGCAGATAGTGCGGGTAGGCTGTGGGGGTTGGCTAGTCTACATGATGAGATTATTATGGATAAGAGCAAGAACATTTATTTGTCAAAGGACAGTCAAGCATCGATCATCATGTCACCAGAATCAGACCCTCAATATTTATTGGAAAGCAGCATCAAGCTCATCACGTGCACTTTTACCACCCTGTTAAATTCATCATAATTTATAGTATTTAAATCTGTAGCCTAATAAACTGCATGGTTTCCCAAGTCGTAGTGGGAGGACCACACACCATATCGTCGCTTGACCCCAAATGTATTCGATATGCTGGTTTTTATATCAATATTTGCGCATAAAGTCGTTTCCACTGCCATTTCCCACATATTAATTTTACAGACACAAAAAGATCCCACCATGTCAAATGAACACATTGATAAAATTACACCAAAACTTCCTGTTTCCATCACAGCTGTCATGATTTTTTACAAAATATTATATGACTTTACTCGCATAAAAACTGGATGGAAACGTGGTTAGTGTTCAGAAAATGTTTGCACCTCCTGACAATTTCAAAGAAGAGTGCAGCCCAACATGAGGATTAGGAAATATGCACTCACCTGGCTGTCTTTTCCCATGTCAGTTGGTGCATACTGATCGCTGATGCTAACAAACCTGAGGAGAGAAGGTTTCAACGGGGTAAGGAAACATTAACGAACGGTGAATATGTAACCAAGCCAGTGCGGTACAGCTCGGTCGTGTGAAAATAATATTACAGCATTGTGTTCCAGTGATGTGAGCGCCTGTGCTAGGAGTATAACAGTAACACTATAATTATCATATGTATCTTATAGTATAATATACTACAGTGCATTCAGAAAGTATTCAGACCCCCTTGACTTTTTCCACTTTGTTATGTTACAGCCTTATTCAAACATTGATTAAACTGTTTTTTTCCTCATCAATCTACACACAATACCTCAATGACAAAGCAAAAATACAAACTTTAATATCACATTTACATAAGTATTCAGACCCTTTAATCAGTACTTCGTTGAAGCACCTTTGGCAGCGATTACAGCCTCGAGTCTTCTTGGGTATGACGCTATAAGCTTGGCACACCTGTATTTGGGGAGTTTCTCCCATTCTTTGCATATCCTCTCAAGCTCTGTCAGGTTGGATGGGGAGCGTTGCTGCACAGCTATTTCCTGGTCTCTCCAGAGATGTTCGATTGGGTTGTACGGGCTCTGGCTGGGCCATTCAAGGACATTCAGAGATTTGTTCCGAAGTCACTCCTGCATTGTCTTGGCTGTGTGCTTAGGGTCGTTGTCCTGTTGGAAGGTGAACCTTTGCCCCAGTCTGAGGTCCTGAGCGCTCTGGAGTAGGTTTTCATCAAGGATCTCCATGTACTTTGCTCCGTTCATCTTTCCCTCAATCCTGACTAGTCTGCCAGTCCCTGCCGCTGAAAAACATCCCCAAAGCATGATACTGCCACCACCATGCTTCACCGTAGGGATGGTGCCAGGTGTCCTCCAGACGTGACGCTTGGCATTCAGGTCTGAGAGTCCTTTAGGTGCCTTTTGGCAAACTCCAAGCGGGCTGTCAGGTGCCTTTTACTGAAGAGTGGCTTCCGTTTGGCCACTCTACCATAAAGTGACCATCGGGTTCTTGGTCACCTCCCTGACCAAGGACCTTCTCCCCTGATTGCTCAGTTTGGCCGGGCGGCCAGCTCTAGGAAGAGTCTTGGTGGTTCCAAGCTTCTTCCATTTAAGAATGATGGAGGCCACTGTGTTCTTGGGGACCTTCAATGCTGCAGAAATGTTTTGGTACCCTTCCCCAGATTTGTGCCTTGACACAATCCTGTCTCGGAGCTCTACAGACAATTCCTTCGACATCATGACTTGGTTTTTGCTCTGACATGCACTGTCAACTGTGGGACCTTATATAGACAGGTGTGTGCCTTTCCAAATAATGTCCAATCAATTGAATTTACCACAGGGTGACTCCAATCAAGTTGTAGAAACATCTCAAGGATGATCAATGGAAACAGGATGCACCTGAGCTCAATTGTGTAGTCCCCTGTAGCTCAGTTGGTAGAGCATGGCGCTTGCAACGCCAGGGTTGTGGGTTCGTTTCCCACGGGGGGTCAGTATGAAAATGTATGCACTCACTAACTGTAAGTAGCTCTGGATAAGAGCGTCTGCTAAATGACTAAAACGTCAAATGTAAAATTTCGAGTCTCATAGCAAAGGGTCTGAATACTTATGTAAATAAGGTATCTGTTTTTTATTTTGAATAAATGTGCAAACATTTCTAAAAACCTGTTTTCGCTTTGTCATTACGGGGTATTGTGTGTATATTGATGAGGAAAACATTTAATTTAATCAATTTTAAAATTAGGCTGTAACGTAACAAAATGTGGAAAAAGGGAAGGGGTCTGAATACTTTCCAAATGCACTGTATAGTATCATAGAATCAAAGGCCTACTTCTGTTCAATAGGCTCCAATAGATCCAGGGCCGGTTTGAGCTCCTTCTCTGGGTCGTTGGTCTCCACTACGCTGCTGGCGATGGCAATGTACTTGCCCTGCGCTGCCACGTTGTGGGCCGAGGAGATCATACACACGTAGATGTCTAAAATGAAAACACAACAGATCAGTGACAAATCATACACCCTCACTAAGCTCTACTAGGGTGTGTTCAGTAGGGTAGAAAAAGTAGAAACAAGTTTTTCAACGGGAAAACATTACATTTTTTATTTCTTCCAGGTAGTCCCTCCCTGTTTATTTTTTATTATATTTGGTGCCTAATGAACACAGTCAATACCATTTCAAAAAGTCACAACATATTTCAGTGACAACTTCATTTCACACACAATCATTTATGAAATGCTTATCTACTGCTTATGAATGTGGTATGTATGGTTATGAATGTATTATTAAGTCTTTCTGTAGGCTAGGTACCCTAGTATCCAGGGGTCTCACCATGTTTCCTGTTGACCTGGATCTGAGGGATGATGATCTGGCAGGAGTTGACGTCGCCGGTGTTCTTGATGGGGTGGCTCATGACGCAGATGATACGGACCACCTGGCCGACCTTGCTGACTCTGTCCATGACGTAGCTGGGGTCACAGATCAGCTGCTTACAGCGGGCTATCTGGAGAGGGAAGGAGAGATGGTAGTGGTTAGGGTTATAGTTAAGGTTAGGGTGGGTTAGAGTAAGGGTTAAGTTTTGGGTAAGGCATAGGGTTAGTGAATTTCCATCTGGAAACATTCAAACTCTGTCGGTTGTATACACTGCCATAATTAAATCACCATTAAGAACTAATATAAAACAATAATAACATTTAGAGGTAAAAATGTGACAAAATCTGACCTCTCCCTCTGACTTGACCCCCACCACCTTTCCATTCTCCATAACGATCTCCTCTATGGGCTTGTTCAGCATGTAGGTCCCACCATAGATAGCACTCAACCTAGCGGGAGAGAGGTCAATTCAAAGACACTGGTGAATAGTGGAGCATGGGATGGGTTCATATTATTATTATTAGTGCCACTGAGCAGACACTTTTAAACGTATGGTGCAGTGAGTGTACACATTTTCAGTGTGTGTATGGGATCCCTGCGGGAATTAAACCGATTACCTTGGGTTCATCAACCAAAAGGCTAAAGATGGACAAATGATAGTGGCAGGGAGGAGGTAAACAAGTGAATCTTACCTGGCAAAGCCTTGTGGCAGCTCCCCCAGGCCGTAGAGAGGGTAGAGATAAGGACTCTTGCCGTATCTGGCCAGAGACTCACTGTAGAGCTTGATCCTGTTGATGGTGTCGATGCAGGGCTGGTCCAGGTAGCTGAGAGATCAAACAAAGAGATTGTAACACACTGTTATAATGTTCATGAATAAGCCATCATAAATGCTTATAGATATTTTAAATATGACACTTGTTAAAGTAGTTCCCATCTTTCAAGTTAAAGTTAATTTGCCATGATGAGTAATGAATACATTAGAAATCTTACTCACCAGAGCTCTCACAATAAATAAAATAAATAAAACACCAAGAAACACACAAATATATAATAAAGTTGATACACAACTAGTAAGGGAAGTGAAACAGCCTATGTGCCATCTCAACTCAAGTAGTGGTGGTGACGACTGCGGAGTCTGTGTCCCAAATGGCACCCTATTCCCTATACAGTGCACTACTTTTGACCAGACCCCTATGGGCCCTGGTCAAAAGTAGTGCACTATATATTGTGAATGGGGTGCCATTTGGGACACAGCCACTTACTCGTCTGTCCTGTAGAGGGCGAGGGCGTGGCCAGTGAAGTCCATCACATCCTGGCCCAGGCTGAACTTCTTGTACAAGTCACGCATTGTCGCCTTGTTGGGGTCGACACCCTCCATGGTTTTGGGATCATTCACGTCATAGTTGGCAACGAAAATCAAGAAGTTCCTGAACCGTCTCTTCTCGAAAATCCCCATCAAGCCTGAGAGTGTGTAGAAAAGTCAGTGAGACAGAAAAATAAAAAGCTGTTGGGTGTTTGAACTAAGATTAAGAATGTGGTCCTGTATGGCTCAGTTAAAAGGATGTGGGTTCATTTGTGGCTTAAATTCCCGCAGGGATCACATAGCTACACACTCACTGCAAGTCGCTTTGGATAAAAGCTTCTGCTAAGTGGTATACACTAAGTGTACAAAACATTAAGGACACCTTCCTAACATTGAGTTGCACCCCCCACTTTTGCCCTCAGAACAGTCTCAATTCATCGGGGCATGGACTCTACAAGGTGTCGAATGCGTTCCACAGGGATGCTGACCCATGTTGACTCCAATGCTTCCAACAGTTGTGTCAAGTTGGCTGGATTTCCTTTGGGTGGTGGACCACTCTTGATACACACAGGAAACTGTTGAGTGTGAAAAAACCAGCAGCGTTGCAGTTCTTGACACAAACCGGTGCGCCTGGCACTTACTATCATACCCTGTTCAAAGGCACTTACATCTTTTGACTTGCCCATTCACCCTCTGAATGGCACACATACACAATCCATGTCTCAATTGTATCAAGGCATAAAAATCCTTCTTTAACCTGTCTCCTCCCCTTCATCTACAATGATTGAAGTGAATTTAACAAGTGACATCAACAAGGGATCATAGCTTTCACTTGGATTCACCTGGTCAGTCTATGTCATGGAAAGAGCAGGTGTCCTTAATGTTTTGTACACTCAGTGTATAGCATAAGTTAATAGAATACTTGATTTACTAGACATACAACTTTTTTCTACTTGAGTAGCATAGGTAATCCACATTATAATTGGTTATTATAAAAATAAGCAACAGATGATAACTAGGGCTGTGGCGGTCATGACATTTTGTCAGCCGGTGATTGTCAAGCAAATAACTGTCGGTCTCACAGTAATTGACAGTTAATTAACATAAACACATTTAGCATCTCCTGGCTTCCACGCATAGCCTACAAGCCACTGATGCAGACCTTTGTAACATCTACATTTTAAAGAGTCTAATAAATCCATGTAATATAGGCGACACCATCACAAATCCATTATATATTTTAGACAGGTCTAAAGAAACATGATATGAAGAGAATGTAGTCTATTTCAGAAGAACAGAATAGCATACTCTGAGTTGTCCTTATGTTAGGTTGTGATCTGGCTATGCCATATGGCTGTGGGCTACACTAGTTCATTTAGCATACAAGATGTGCTTAGAATTCCGTGGGATTATTTTATAGTATGAAGAATACAATTGAACAAAGCTGAATAAAATAGAAAGGATATTTTCTCCAAACGATTTGAGGGAGTGCGCACATGCGGCTATTCTGTGTTGAGCAGATAACAAAGAAACAGGTCCTGCTATATGTTTAATTTAGAGTTATTTATGTAACTTTAGTTGTGATACAAATGTTGGGCTATATGTTTAGATTTTTAATACACTCTAAGGCTGCATGATGCGACTAATGATAATTTGATAAAAGTCGCATGAAAGGCATGAGCTCTGCTTTGTTTTTTTGCGCAGGCTTTACAAACTTCACCTATTCTATTGTGCGAGAAATAAATATTCCAAACATAGTCTAGGACAGTTGTGGGATGCGATAGATCCCAAATTAATACAACCACTAGCATTAAAAAAAAACTGTTTTAAGCAATGAGCCTGACGCAACAGATGAGGTTTAGCTTAAAATGTTGATAAACTATTAGGCTTTTTCTTCACATTATAAGAGCAGCAATGCGCACACGGCAGTAGGCTATAAGTGCAAATGTTCAAGCAGGAAAACACCATTCTCAAAAGTGACCACAAACGCGATTATGCATTTAATCGTAATTTTATAACGGTGCATTTTTATGGTGAAAATGATTTTCCCCAAACTTGAGACTCACGCGCTGCGTATGTATGCCAGTTAGGCTCTACACCCATTATAAAGCGGATTAATGTGCTTCATTTTAAGTAGTTATTTGGCCACTTCAGTTGTGATACAAACCTTATCAAAACATATAGGCCTATGGGCTAGGCTACATGACGTGTGCGACTATGATTTGAAAAAGTCGGGGGGAAAAGGCAGTTTCTTATGCTGGGCATCATTCACAAGTGATAACATATAATTCACAAGTGATAGGCTAATATTGTCACCCCATCAGACTATTCTTGATTTAATCTTGTATTTACATATACTAAATAATATATATGTGAAATTTGTTTTGATTTAGAATGGACCATTATCATGCACCTGTCTCGAAACAGGGGCAGCAGGAAAATAATACATGTAATCTATGCACTTAACACAGAGTTACATATGGGGTAAAAAAACATAAAGTCAAAAATACAACAGAAAATATATATACAGTGTGTGCAAATGTAGCAAGTTATGGAGGTAAGGCAATAAATAGGCTATAGTGCAGTATAATTACAATAGTATTAACACTGGAATGCTAGATGTGCAAGAGATTATGTGCAAATAGAGATACTGGGGTGCAAAAGAGCAAAATAAATAACAATATAGGGATGAGGTAGTTGGGTGGGCTAATTTCAGATGGGCTGTGTACAGGTGCAATGATCGGTAAGGTGCTCTGACAACTGATGCTTAAAGTTATTGAGGGAGATAAGAGTCTCCAGCTTCAGAGATTTTTGCAATTCGTTCCAGTCATTGGCAGCAGAGAACTGGAAGGAATGGCGGCCAAAGGAGGTGTTGGCTTTGGGAATGACCAGTGAGATATACCTGCTGGAGCGCAGACTACGGGTGGGTGCTGCTATGGTGACCAATGAGCTAAGATAAGGCGGGGATTTGCCTAGCAGTGATTTATAGATGGCCTGGAGCCAGTGGGTTTGACGACGAACATGTAGTGAGGACCAGCCAACAAGAGCGTACAGGTCACAGTGGTGGGTAGTGTATGGGGCTTTGGAGACAAAACGGATGGCACTGTGATAGACTACATCCAATTTGCTGAGTAGAGTGTTGGAGGCTATTTTGTAAATGACATCGCCGAAGTCAAGGATCGGTAGGATAGTCAGTTTTACGAGGGCATGTTTGGCAGCATGAGTGAAGGAGGCTTTGTTTGCGAAATAGGAAGCCGATTCTAGATTTAACTTTGGATTGGAGATTCTTTATGCGAGTCTGGAAGTTGAGTTTACAGTCTAACCAGACACCTAGGTATTTGTAGTTGTCCACATACTCTAGGTCAGACCCGTCGAGAGTGGTGATTCTAGTCGGGTGGGCGGGTGCCAGCAGCGTTCGATGGAAAAGCATGCATTTAGTTTTACTAGTGTTTAAGAGCAGTTGGAGGCTACTGAAGGATTGTTGTATGGCATTGAAGCTCGTTTGGAGGTTTGTTAACACAGTGTCCAATGAAGGGCCAGATGTATACAAAATGGTGTCGTCTGCGTAGAGGTGGATCTGAGAGTCACCAGCAGCAAGAGCGACATCATTGATATACACAGAGAAAAGTGTCGGCCCAAGAATTGAACCCTGTGGCACCCCCATAGAGACTGCCATAGGTCCAGACAACAGGCCCTCCGATTTGATACACTGAACTCTATCTGAGAAGTAGTTGGTGAACCAGGCGAGGCAGTCATTTGAGAAACCAAGGCTATTTAGTCTGCCAATAAGAATGCGGTGGTTGACAGAGTCGAAAGCCTTGGCCAAATAGCGAATGGAGTACGCTTTTCCCGTGGTTCATTTTATTAATATTAGGAAAATTGAGAAATAAATATAGTACACCTAGCCTATAGAAAGCTGATGGGATCCTCCTCTTTTTAGTAGAGGCCATCACTCTGTTTTCTCGCGCAATTGCATAGCCTATAGACATGTAACAAGTTCGGTAGGCTATTAATGAGCATCAGAGCTTGGAGATACCGTGACTAAACGGTCACATGGAATTTGACTGCCTTCATGACTTGTGACCGCCGGTGTGACGGTAACGCGGTCACCGCAACAGCCCTAGGAGTGACACAAATCTTTTTTTCTAAACTCTACAAGAAATGTATGCACTAACTGTACTGTAAGTCGCTTTGGATAAAAGTGTCTGGCATAGCCTATATTATAGGAATAAGCCACTGAAAATCCCATTGATATACTCACTGGAGGCCAGTGCCTCTGTCTCAGTGACAGGCACTTTGTAGATCGCTCCCTTCTTGTAGACATAGCTGCCCTCGATCACCTTGAAGTCCAGGTAACGGGTCACCTGAGTGATCAGCAACATCCGCACAAGCTGACCTGGGTAGAGCAGAGAGAAGAAAAGAGGTCATGTTCGTTAAGGCATACAACGGAAAACATTTCAAAATAATCCTGATGTGTACCAAGATTAAATAAGCTGCTGAGGGAGAGGCCTTTGATAACATTCATGAAAAGTATACGTGGGTTGTGTTCATTAGGGCATTTGACTGAAAACATTTTTTAACATTCTGCAACAGAAAATGAAAATAGTCCAAGTAGTCCCTTTCTGTACAGTCCCCTTTCTTCCGTGTGGTGGCTAATGAACACAACCCTGCACTGAGTATTATATCTAGAATAACATGGGTGTATTCATTAGATGATGACCGTAGCAAACAGTTGCAAAAACGTTTTACAACAGAAGCCCTTTCCTCCAAATGTAAAACATTTTGCAATGAAAACAAGCGTTTCTATTGGACAAATGTAGGTAGGTTCCTCACAGTTTCATTCCGTTTGGTTCTGTTTGGATCCTAGTGAATTGAATACACCCCATATTGCTTTCCTACCATTGGCCATCAGAAACTTTGGGATGAGGTCCACGCTCCAGTCCCGACCTCTTCCCATGGACTCTGGAGGTTTACCAGGAAGACTGAAGCGCTTGTACAACTGGAGGGGGACAAGAAGAAGACAAACAGAAATGATTAAACTTTGTATTATTACTTCATTCAATTTCATTCATGACTTAGTTTATTTGACAATAAAACATAGAGCTGTCAGATTGTGAGTATCTGAAACTCAGCTGTGCCTCAACTTTTGAAAATAAAACTGAGATGTGAGTGATAGCATACATAATATAACATATTACTCTATCTGTGTGATGGCACCACACAGTGGGGCCTGTGGAACCTAAGGTTAATAATCTAATACCCTTTTGACCCAACTGAGCCAAGTTAAACCAATTACTGGGCTGGCCTAGTTAGGGATCCACCATAGTTGCCAGAAGGGAATATGTGAAAACAAAAGATCCCAGCCAGCAAAGTATGGTTCGGCATTATAGCATGAAAAGGGTCATAGTCATCTTGTGTGCCTTTGCTTACATCTTCCAGTGGCGTGATGGACGCACTCTCTGCTCCATAGTAAGAGTTCCTGTCCATATGAAGCACCTTCTTTCCCTTCACTGACATAATGCCAGACAGAATGCATTCCTATGGAAGAAAAAGATAAGCCAGATAGCTAGGTAGCTACACAAAGAGATAACAATTGTCATTTATGTTTTAAATGTGTAAACAACAGTGTAAACTATTTAAACAACACAGTAAAGAACAATGTCAACACAGCAAGCTAACTAATACAGTAGCTACTTAGCGTAGGAAACTAGCTACATTTTTCTAAGGAAAATAACTGGAAATACTGTTGTATGGGAGCTGTCCCTTATTGCTGACTGGGGAAAGTATCGCCACAACACTACTGAGAAACATAGTAGACACCGATTCCCGAGAAAAAAAATCTGAAAATAGAGTTCTAACAAACGAGCTAGCAAGCTAATTTAGCACTAACGTTAGTTAGCCATGACATTAGCCTACAGATTAGCCTTCTACACACCTAGTAGCTGTGACCATTGTTGGACGGTTGTACTATTACTTTGTCTGTTTTCTCACCGTTAGGCCGGTCCCGAGAACGATAACATCATATTCTTCATCCATACTGAGTGTCCTTCTGTACTTTATCCCTAAATATGTTATTTCTGTCAGTGAAAATGGAATGGCTGTTTGATAGTTGAGAACTTGTTCCGCTGCACTGCAGCGCAGGTAATGATAACCGTGTCGTGAACGTACCCTTCTTTGTGGGTTGGCGGATGTTTTTGCGCATGTCTAATCGACGTTTTCTGGGATGGGTTTGTCGGTGGAAACAAGATGGCGGCTCTGGCAAGAGCGCCAACATATTTACTCGAATAGATGTCAGAATTATCCCTCATCGAGCATTTTGTTCACAACCTGCACGTCTTTCATGCATCATGAAGACCAGGAGGATGTTTTATAGTAGGGATTGAATAAGCTAGGACCGTTACTAAAGTCAGCGAGATGTGCGAGAGCTATGCCCGCTCGCTGCTGCGTGTGTCGGTGGCGCAGATCTGCCAAGCGCTGGGCTGGGATGCAGTGCAGCTCACAGCCTGCGACCTGCTCTCCGATGTTCTGCACAGATATATCCAGCAGTTAGCCAGGGGTTGTCATCGTTACTCGGAGCTCTGTAAGTACTGTATTTCAGACATGTCTACTGTAAATGAAATTAATCTGTCTAGGTATTGGATCGCATTGTTTATTCCACGCTCTGTGACTAGCGCCCTCTCCAATCGAGGCCTAGTAGTGCTAAGGTTGTCAGAGAAGTGTACAGTAAAGTTAGCCTAGGTGCTAGTACTAGTTAGCTATGTTAGCTAGCCACATTATGTAAACAATGACTAGGTTTGTTTGCTAAAGTAATTTCCCAAATATTACATGTATTTAATGTTTAGCTAACTACAGTCATTATATACATTTAGTCGCTTATGACCATGGTTGTTTCTCAATTTGAAACAGGTCATACTGTGGTGTGTGTGCTAACTAGCTAGCTCAGATGTCAACATGGGGGAGTGTTCTAACATACTGTAGTTCCAAAGAAAACAGTGTGGCATCTTGTATAGAAATGGCTTAAACAAATACTAGGTAACGTTAGCAGTAAATGCCACTGTCTTTCCTGGGGTGAAATTAATCAATTATTTGCTGAAGACATAATTGATATTCAAAAAAATAACTTCTGTCTGATTTTTGACATTCTCTTACATTATGCAATGGTGTAAGAGACTTCACTCAGTTTCCTATAGTGTGTATAATATAGACGGGTTGGTTGTTTAGCAACAAAACCGACGCATGCACAACTATGGGGCAAAACAGACAGTATTGGCTTAGATTGTTGACAACATGTGAACTATATTTCGTCACCAATCTTTATTGCAAACATAAATATATTTGCACAAAGTCATGAGCACTTAGTGTCTCTCAAATACATCGTTACAGTTGTTGGTTAGCTCGCTAGCTACAGTTGAAGTCGAAAGTTTACATACACTTAGGTTGGAGTCATTAAAAGTCGTTTTTCAACCACTCCACAAATTTCTTGTTAACAAACTATAGTTTTGGCAAGTCGGTTAGGACATCTACTTTGTGCATGACACAACTAATTTTTCCAACTATTGTTTACAGACATATTATTTCACTTATAGTTCACTGTATCACAATTCCAGTGGGTCAGAAGTTTACATACACTAAATTGACTGTGCCTTTAAACAGCTTGGAAAATTCCAGAAAATGATGTCATGGCTTTAGAAGCTTCTGATAGGCTAATTGACATTATTTGAGACAATTGGAGGTGTACCTGTGGATGTATTTCAAGGCCTACCTTCAAACTCAGTGCCTCTTTGCTTGACATCATGGGAAAATCAAAAGAAATCAGCCAAGACCTCAGAAAAAAATTTGTCTGGTTCATCCTTGGGAGCAATTTCCAAACGCCTGAAGGTACTACGTTCATCTGTACAAACAATAGTACGCAAGTATAAACACCATGGGACCACGCAGCCGTCATACAGCTCAGGAAGGAGACTCGTTCTGTCTCCTAGAGATGAACGTACTTTGGTGCGAAAAGTGCAAATCAATCCCAGAACAACAGCAAAGGACCTTGTGAAGATGCTGGAGGAAACCGGTACAAAAGTATCTATATCCACAGTAAAACGAGTCCTATATCTACATAACCTGAAAGGCCGCTCAGCAAGGAAGAAGCCACTGCTCCAAAACCGCCATAAAAAACCCAGACTATGGTTTGCAACTGCACATGGGGAAAAATATCATACTTTTTGGAGAAATGTCCTCTGGTCTGATTAAACAAAAATAGAACAGTTTGGCCATAATGACCATCGTTATGTTTGGAGGAAAAAGGGGGATCGCTTGCAAGCCGAAGAACACCATCCCAACCGTGAAGCACAGGGGGGGCAGCATCATGCTGTGGGGGTGCTTTGCTGCAGGAGGGACTGGTGCACTTCACAAAATAGATGGCATCATGAGGATGGAAAATTATGTGGATATATTGAACCAACATCTCAAGACATCAGTCAGGAAGTTAAAGCTTGGTCGCAAATGGGTCTTCCAAATGGACAATGACCCCAAGTATACTTCCAAAGTTGTGGCAAAATGGCTTAAGGACAACAAAGTCAATGTATTGGAGTGGCCATCACAAAGCCCTGACCTCAATCCTATAGAACATTTGTGGCCAGAACTGAAAAGGTGTGTGCGAGCAAGGAGGCCTACAAACCTGACTCAGTTACACCAGCTCTGTCAGGAGGAATGGGCAAAATTCACCCAACTTATTGTGGGAAGCTTGTGGAAGGCTACCCGACACATTTGACCCAAGTTAAACAATTTAAAGGTAATGCTACCAAATACTAATTGAGTGTATGTAAACTTCTGACCCACTGGGAATGTGATGAAAGAAATAAAAGCTGAAAGAAATAATTATCTCTACTATTATTCTGACATTTCACATTCTTAAAATAAAGTGGTGATCCTAACTGACCTAAGACAGGGAATTTTTACATTTTACATTGACATTTTTAGTCATTTAGCAGACGCTCTTATCCAGAGCGACACTAGGATTAAATGTCAGGAATTGTGAAAAACTGAGTTTAAATGTATTTGGCTAAGGTGTATGTAAACTTCTGACTTCAACTGTAATTTTAGCTTATTGGCATAGACGTGACTTCAGTCAAAACACCTCAAAACAAGACATGGTATCTGGCCATCCAGAATCACAAAAACATCCAGACCTTTGCCCCGTTGAAGTGTGCACATCGTTTTCGACGTTGTCAGCTAAACCATCTATAGTACAGTATCATATATGCATGCATAGGAGGAGGAGACATAAAGGTTTGATCATGTCTCATGCATGCACTTTTCCTCTCCTCCTAGATGGGCGAACAGACCCAGTATTGGAGGACGTGGGCCAGGCCTTCAGACTGCTGGGGGTGAGCCTGTCTGAGCTGGAGGACTATGTCCATAACCTGGAGCCTGTGGGGTTCTCCCAGCAGACGCCGCTCTTCCCCCTCAGCAAAAATAACATGCTGCAGTTCCCTCAGCCTGGAGTGGGGGTCCGGGGGGATGCCGAGGAGAGGAAGGAATACATTCCAGATTATATGCCACCCTTGGTCTCCTTGCAAGAAGGTGGGGGCTTTAACAATATTCTGTGTGTGTGTGTGGGACTTGTGTGTGTGAGACTAGGGCTGTGGTGGTCATTAAATTTTGTCAGCCGGTTATTGTCATGTAAATGACTGCCGGTCTCACGGCAATTGACCGTTATTTAACATAAGCACATTTAGCATCTCCAGGTCTCCACAGGTGATATTCCACCAAAACTCTGTATGCCATGGGCTCTCCAAACCTGTTCCTGCAGCTACCCAGTGCTTAATTTGTTTTCACAATGAAACATATTTCATTAAACTGTTGACAGCGCCTCTCTCTGCACGCTCAAGAAGGAAGTAAGGAGAGAGAGGCGGAGATGGAAACGCACAGTGGTGAGATATTCTGTTGCTAAAGGTAATGTGTCAGCCTATTAATTATGAAAATATTAAAAATGCCTTATTACTAGGCTATTCAAATACAAATGCACTATAATTGTAGGCTAACACAAAGCCGCCCTGCACAATCAATGAACCAACAGCATCGCCTAGGCCTATACGTTCTCTCCTAGACTCATGGATAGAAAGTTTGGAGTGTAGCATAAGGTAACCAGCCCATCCAGTATGCATAATGCAGTTCACACTGAAAGGCAAGTACTATAATTATTTTTATATTTTAAACGTGTGTATTTTACCCCCTTTTTCTCCCCAATTTCGATCTTGTCTCTTTCGCTACAACTCCCCAACGTACTCGGGAGGCGAAGGTTGAGTCATGCGTCCTCCGAAACATGACCCACCTAACCGCGCTTCTTAACACCCGCCCGCTTAACCCGGAAGCCAGCCGCACCAATGTGTCGGAGGAAACACTGTTCAACTGACAACCGAGGTCAGCCTGCAGGTGCCCGGCCCACCACAAGGAGTCACTAGAGCGCGATGAGCCAAGTGACTTCTTCCACATTGTGTTGTGTTACAGCCTGAATTTAAAATGGATTTTGTGTCACTGGCCTAGACACAATACCCCATAATGTTAAAGGGAAATTATGTTTTTAAATATTTTTACAAATTAATAAAAAAGGAAAAGCTGAAATGTATTCAACCCCTTTGTTATAGCAAGCCTAAATAAGTTCAGGAGTAAACATTTACTTAACAAGTCACATAATAAGTTGCATGGACTCAATCGGTGTTCAATAATAGTGTTTAACATGATTTTTGAATGACTACCTCGTCTCTGTACCCCACACATACAATTATCTGTAAGGTCCCTCAGTCTAGCAGTGAATTTCAAACACAGATTCAACCACAAAGACCAGGGAGGTTTTCCAATGGGGCAAAGAAAAGGAGAGCACTTAATATCCCTTTCAGCATGGTGAAGTTATTAATTACACTTTGGATGGTGTATCAAAACACCCAGTCACTACAAAGATACAGGCATCCTTCCTAACTCAGTTGCCGCTCAGGGATTTCACCATGGGGCCAATGGTGACTTTAAAACAGTTTCAGAGTTTAATGACTGTGATAGGAGCACTGAGGATGGATCAACAACATTGAAGTTACTACTTAATACTTACCTAATTGACAGAGTGAAAAGAAGGAAGTACAGAATAAAAATATTCCATAATATGCATCCTGTTTTACAACAAGGCACTAAAGTAATACTGCAATTAACTTTTTGTCCTGAATACAAAGTGTTATGTTTGGGGCAAATCCAATACAACACATTACTGAGTACCACTCTTCATCATGTTATGGGTATCCTTGTAATCGTTAAGGACTGGTTAGTTTTTCAGGATAAAAAAGAAACGTAATGGAGCTAAGCACAGGCAAAATACTAGAGGAAAACCTGGTTCAGTCTGCTTTCCACCAGACACTGGGAGATGAATTCACCTTTCACTAGGACAATAACGTAAAACATAAGGCCATATCTACAGTGGAGTTGCTTACCAAGAAGACAGTGAATGTTCCTGAGTGGCCAAGTTACATTTTTGACTTAAATCTGCTTGAAAATCTATGGCAAGACTTGAAAATGTTTTTGACAGAGCTTGAAGAATTTTGGAGAGAATAATGGGCAAATATTGTACAATCCAATTGTGCAAAGCTCATAGAGACTTACCCAGAAAGACTCACAGCTGTAATCGCTGCCAAAGGTGATTCTAACATGTATTGACTCAGGGGTATTTCTGTATTTCATTTTCAATACATTTGCAAAAGTTTCTAAAAAATATGTTTTCACTTTGTCATTATGGGGTGTAGTGTGTAGATGGGTAAAATAAATATATATATGAATTCAGGCTGTAACACAACAAAATGTAGAATAAGTCGAGGGGTATGAATACTTTCTAAAGGCACTGTATGCTTATGGGTGTTTTTGATTTAATCATAACCTTAGAAAGTGCTGTCCATTTAGTTGTTTGGCTTTGAAACAACATCCACAATGACCATGTTTTCCACTCAGTTTCAACCTGTTGTTGAACTTCTTTCTTCAAATTGATCATCACAGTGAGCTGAGTTTTAAAAGCATGATACTCTTTTGATGATGAGTGTTTGATGTGATTTTCGATTGCATTTGCATTGATGTCGGAGTGGTTAGAGGGACAATAGAGCGCTGAGTACCAGGCCATTAGCAACCTGATAGTTGTTAACGAGTTCGGTACTGAACACATGTCCAGAGTGCATAAGAGGAGATTACCGTGACCCAACGGTCACGTGGAATTTGACTGCGGTTATGACTCATGACTGCTGGAGTGGCGGTAATACGGTCACTGCAACAGCCCTATGTGAGACACGTGTGCGTGCATTTGTGTGTTAATGGGGTTACGGTACTCAGATAATCAATGCTTTTTTCTTTTGTCCTTTAATACAATACTAATCAGAGGGCAATATTGATTGAATGACAGTGATGAACCTTTGACTCGCTCTCTCTGCCTCTCTCTTCTGTGTCTCATCCTCTCTCCCCCTCTCTCTTCTCCCATCTATAGAAGAGGAGGAGGAAGAAGCCCTGGCTGACATGGGCACCTCTGCCGAGGCCATGCAGGTCCCGCTGGACGATACAGACGAGGACATGGATGACGACGAGGCGGTGAACGATGAGAACCACCCTGTGAAGAGACACCTGGACAGCCCCGACGCCGCCATGGGTATGATGCCCACCTCCAAGAGGCCCCGCATGCACCCCGGCTTTAGCCCCGACTGGAGCATGGAGCCCAGGGAGCCCCTCACCTCCCTCAACCCCCAGCGTGTCCCTCCAGGCATGATGGCTTCCCATTCCCACGACAGCATGGGTTCAATGTCTCTGTCCCCAGAGACACCTGGGCCTCCAACGTTGTTCAGACCCCAGCCGGTGACCCCAGGGAGACACTCTGATCATAAGTCTCATGGCGGTCAAGGCCGCAAAGGACCCAAAGGCTCATCCCCCGGTAGGCCACGGACTAAGTCCCCCAAGGGGGTCAATGCTGGTGGGGCTATGTCAGGCAGCCCCATCCGCTCGCCCAAATCTTCCAAGGAGCAGAAAAAGTCCCCGGGCAGGACCAAGAGCCCTAAAAGTCCCAAGAGCCCCAAGATGGGCTCTGGAGTCAAGTCTGGTTCTCAGGGCAAAGCGGAGGCTCAGGCTCAGGTCCTGGCCCTACAGAGACTGCCCCTGTCAGCCCTCAGCGAAAGGATGGGGAAGGAAAACATCCACGTGCTGCAAAGCCTGGAGGACCGCGAGCTGGCGGGTTTCGTCTCTGGTAAACTCGGCGAACCCGGCGGCGACAACGCTGATATTGACGATTCTATCGACGCCGTGATCGCCAGGGCATGCGCCGAGCGAGAGCCTGACCCTTTTGCCTTCTCATCGGGCTCCGAGTCGGAGAGTGATGGCTTCTCCTCTCCACGGAGGCTTACTATCATGGAGCCAGGGGGAACGCCTAAGCTCTCACTGGATGCCAACAGCCTGGAGAAAGACACGTCCATGCCGCTTCACCTCAACGCAGGCAGTGGCCCCGGGAACTGGACCATGGACGACTCCATCAACGAGGTCATACGTAAAGTAAACCAGGGAGGTCCCAATGCGGCACACCCCCAGGGCGAATCGTACCTGTCCTCAGCATCCGCCTCGCCCCCGACCCCTGAGCCCCTCCTCAAGATGTACGAGGAGAAGAACAAGCTTGTCTCCTCGGCTGACATCAAGAAGAAACTCAAGAAGGAGCTGAAGACCAAGATGAAGAAGAAGGAGAAGGGAGAGAAGCCAAAAGATAAAGAGAGGGACAAGGGGAAGATGAAGGAGAAGAACAAGGATAAGAACAAAGATTCTTTCTCCAAGGAGGCCAAGATGCCGTGGAAGGACTTCGGTAACAAGGACGACGACCTCAGGGAACACTTCCTGGGTCAGAGGTCAGGGTTCAGCGGACCAGAGGGCTCCATGATCAAGATCAAGTCGCGAGATGGAGGGGATGGCAGTGGCAGGAAGGAGAAGGACAAACACAAAGACAAGAAGAAGGACAAGGAGAAGAGCAAGAAGGGAAAAGACAAGCGGGACAAGGGTAAGGACAGGCAGAAGATATCCTCCCTCACCCCGTTCGGTTTGGGTGACATGCCTGCCCTGTTCAGCCCGTCCACGTGTCTCCGCATCCCCTCCATGCTGCCTCCTCTTCCCCCTATCCTCCAGGAAAAGGATGTGAAGAGCAAGGAGAAGGACAAGAAGAAAGACAAGAAGGAGAAGAAGAAGAAGAAAGATAAAGACAAGGAGAAGGAAAAGGAGAGGGAAAAGTCCAAGGAGAAGGAGAGGGAGAAAGAGGAGAAGAGGAAAGAGAAGGAGAAAGAGAAGGAGAAACGAGAGAAGGAGAAAGACAAGGAAAAAGAGAGGATTAGGCTAGAAAAGGTAACTTGTGTTTTCCCAGTGTTGATTTATAGTGTAGCATTTATAACACAGTGAATCAACACACACACTAACTGGTTGCTCTCCTTTCTTCCCTCTGTCACAGGTGAAAGTGGAGACTCCAGTAGCTGTCCCATCACCAGTCATCCCCAGGCTTACCCTAAGGGTGGGGGCTGGCCAGGACAAAATGTACGTTTCTCAATTCAATTCAACTTTCTTTCCATTTATATGTCCCTTTATTTAACTTACAGTGCATTCGGAAAGTATTCAGACCCCTTCACTTTTTTACAGCCTTATTCTAAAAATGTATTTCTAAAAAACAATCCTCATCAACCTACACACAATACCCCATAATGACGAAGCGAAAACAGGTTAAAGATAAATCAAAACAGAAATACCTTATTTACATAAGTATTCAGACCCTTTGCTATGAGACTCGAAATTGAGCTCAGGTGCATCTTACGTTTTAGTCATTTAGCAGACGCTCTTATCCAGAGCTACTTACAGTTAGTGAGTGCATACATTTTCATACTGGCCCCCCGTGGGAAACGAACCCACAACCCTGGCGTTGCAAGCGCCATGCTCTACCAACTGAGCTACAGGGGACTACACAATTGAGCTCAGGTGCATCCTGTTTCCATTGATCATCCTTGAGATGTTTCTACAACTTGATTGGAGTCCACCTGTGGTAAATTCAATTGATTGGACATGATTTGGAAAGGCACACACCTGTCTATATAAGGTCCCACAGTTGACAGTGCATGTCAGAGCAAAAACCAAGGCATGAGGTCAAAGGAATTGTCCGTAGAGCTCCGAGACAGGATTGTGTCGAGGCACAGATCTGGGGAAGCTCCAGAGTTCCTCTGTGGAGATGGGAGAACCTTCCAGAAGGACAACCATCTCTGCAGCACTCCACCAATCAGCCACTCCTCAGTAAAAGGCACATGACAACCCGCTTGGAGTTTGCCAAAAGGCACCTAAAGGACTCTCAGACCATGAGAAGCAAGATTCTGGTCTGATGAAACCAAGATTGAACTCTTTGGCCTGAATGCCAAGCGTCACGTCTGGAGGAAACCAGGCACCGCTCATCACCTGGCCAATACCATCCCTACGGTGAAGCATGGTGTTGGCAGCATCATGCTGTTGGGATGTCTTTCAGCAGCAGGGACTGGGAGACTAGTCAGGATCAAGGGAAAGATGAAGGGAGCAAAGTACAGAGAGATCCTTGATGAGAACCTGCTCCACAGCGCTCAGGACCTCAGACTGGGGCGAAGGTTCACCTTCCAACAGGACAACGACCCTAAGCACACAGCCAGGACAACGACCCTAAGCACACAGCCAAGACAACGCAGGAGTGGCTTCGGGACAAGTCTCTGAATGTCCTTGAGTGGCCCAGCCAGAGCCCGGACTTGAACCCGATCAAACATCTCTGGAGAGACCTGAAAATAGCTGTGCAGCGACGCTCCATCCAACCTGACAGAGCTTGAGAGGATCTGCAGAGAAGAATTTGTAAGTCGCTCTGGATAAGAGCATCTGCTAAATGACTTAAATGTAAGAATGGGAGAAACTCCCCAAATACAGGTGTGCCAAGTTTGTAGCGTCATACCCAAAGGTGCTTCAACAAAGTACTGAGTAAAGGGTCTGAATACTTATGTAAATGTGATATTTAATTATATATAAAAAAATTGGGGGGGGGGGGGTTATTGTGTGTAGATTGATGAGGGGTCTGAATACTTTCCCGAATGCACTGTAATTTGTCCACATCATACATTACATCAAACTCATACAGACACAGATGAAACCATACATAGAAGTACTGTACTTAACTCATTTTGTTGGCTCTATGTGCTGCAAGGCAGCTGTATTGTTGATCCGCATGCAGTAATGTGTCATAGGCTCTGGTTTGATATCTCTCTCTCCCCCTCTATTTCTCTTTATATCCATCTCCAGAGTTATCAGCAAGGTGGTTCCCAATTCAGAGCCACCACTGCCGCCACCCAAGATGCCAGCACCCAAGATCCCCGCCACCAAATCAGGACCTGGCAGTCGCCTTCAGCCCCCACCACCTCCCCCAGTATTGTCCCCAGTTGTACCCTCGTTGCTCTCCCCCGCCTCCATTCTGTCCTCCAGCAAACTGCCTGTACGCAGTGTGATCACTGAAACTGTCAGAACATACGTGGTGAGTCCCAGTCAGACCCTCTACATCAATCATATACATAATTATGTATCTGTCATGCTTATCCTCTATCTCAGGGGTTCTCAAACTTTTGGGGGCCGGGGACCCCTTTTGTGATAGCAAATCCATCAGGGACCCCTCAGGTGCTATACAAATAAAATACAAGGAGTTTTACTATGACGTCTGCAGTGCATAGCTGGACTAGTGTTGTCACGACACCAGAATTTTGACTTCGGTACCAGGTTTAGTATCACGATACTCGATACCAAAACGATACCACGGCAAAAAAAGAAGGCATATTAGCCAAAGTCACAGAATGGCACTTGATCCAGACAGATAAACTCAGCTACTGCTCTGTTCAATCATTACATTTGACATTTTTATGTCAAATCTTTCAGAGACAGACATATATGCATTAATGAATAAATTATACAATCATACAATTAATGTGATTTTGTTTTTACCAATCTAACTACATAACAAAATAATGGTAATTTATTTGAATGGTAAATCTCTATTGATAAACTGGGTAAATCAAGATGTAGCTTAGGCCTATTCACAATACAGGTGAATGCATATTCAATAGGAGTGTGTGTTGCATTGAGTTATTGAGCTTGTTTTGGCTGATTTCATGGGGCTACAGATGAAAAACAATCTGTTTCCCTTCCATTTGGGACTTATTTTATTGGACTGATCATCAACATTTGCATAGAAGTAGCTTATTTTATAAAAGTGCACGCTGTCTCTTTAACCAGTAATGACTCATTCACAAGGCAAGAGAGCCCTATTCACACAGTCAGTTCGCTGAGGCATAGGTCATCTTTGGGAGAGACGTGACAGAGAACGATTTTAAGTGAATTAATAAAGTTGGTGGCAATCAGCTTTGAAATCAGCATATTTCGCTTTATGGTTTGGTATCACAAACAAAGTACTAGGGTAGTGAATTGATGTTAGCTTCAGCTGTAAGCTAGCAAGGAAAGTTAGCCTACAGATTTTCTTGCATTGTAAAGTGTTCGGGGACATCGGCTGCACTGATACAGACTTGATCCGTGAGACACATTTGACAGAAGTACCTAAATATACAGTGCCTTTGGAAAGTATTCAGTGTCTGAATTTCAGACCCCTTGACTTTTTCCACATTTTGTTACGTTACACCTTATTCTAACATGGATTAAATAAAACAATTTCCTACACACAATACCCCATAATGACAAAGCGAAAACAGGTTTTTAGAAATGTTTGCAAATGTATTAAAAACAGAAATACCTTATTTACATAAGTATTCAGACCCTTTGCTATGAGACTCGAAATTGAGCTCAGGTGCATCCTGTTTTCATTGATCATCCTTGTGATGTTTCTACAACTTGGTTGGAGTCCACCTGTGGTAAATTCAATTGATTGGACATGATTTGAAAGGCACACGCCTGTCTATATAAGGTCCCACAGTTGACATTATGGGGTATTGTGTGTAGATTGATGAGGGGGGAAAAAACAATTTAATCAATTTTAGAATGAGACTGAACCCTAACAAAATGTGGAAAAGGTCAAGGGGTCTGAATACTTTCTGAAGGCACTGTGTGTGTATATATATATATATATATATATATATATATATATACACACACACACACACACACACACACACACACACACACACACACAGTGGGGGGAAAAAGTATTTAGTCAGCCACCAATTGTGCAAGTTCTCCCACTTAAAAAGATGAGAGAGGCCTGTAATTTTCATCATAGGTACACATCAACTATGACGACAAATTGAGAGAAGAAAATCCAGAAAATCACATTGTAGGATTTTTTATGAATTTATTTGCAAATTATGGTGGAAAATAAGTATTTGGTCACCTACAAACAAGCAAGATTTCTGGCTCTCACAGACCTGTAACTTCTTCTTTAAGAGGCTCCTCTGTCCTCCACTTGTTACCTGTATTAATGGCACCTGTTTGAACTTGTTATCAGTATAAAATACACCTGTCCACAACCTCAAACAGTCACACTCCAAACTCCACTATGGCCAAGACCCAAAGAGCTGTCAAAGGACACCAGAAACACAATTGTAGACCTGCACCAGGCTGGGAAGACTGAATCTGCAATAGGTAAGCAGCTTGGTTTGAAGAAATCAACTGTGGGAGCAATTATTAGGAAATGGAAGACATACAAGACCACTGATAATCTCCCTCGATCTGGGGCTCCACGCAAGATCTCACCCCGTGGGGTCAAAATGATCACAGGAACGGTGAGCAAAAATCCCAGAACCACACGGGGGGACCTAGTGAATGACCTGCAGAGAGCTGGGACCAAAGTAACAAAGCCTACCATCAGTAACACACTACGCCGCCAGGGACTCAAATCCTGCAGTGCCAGACGTGTCCCCCTGCTTAAGCCAGTACATGTCCAGGCCCGTCTGAAGTTTGCTAGAGTGCATTTGGAATGATCCAGAAGAGGATTGGGAGAATGTCATATGGTCAGATGAAACCAAAATAGAACGTTTTGGTAAAAACTCAACTCGTCGTGTTTGGAGGACAAAGAATGCTGAGTTGCATTCAAAGAACACCATACCTACTGTGAAGCATGGGGGTGGAAACATCATGCTTTGGGGCTGTTTTTCTGCAAAGGGACCAGGACGACTGATCCGTGTAAAGGAAAGAATGAATGGGGCCATGTATCGTGAGATTTTGAGTGAAAATCACCTTCCATCAGCAAGGGCATTGAAGATGAAACGTGGCTGGGTCTTTCAGCATGACAATGATCCCAAACACACCGCCCGGGCAACGAAGGAGTGGCTTCGTAAGAAGCATTTCAAGGTCCTGGAGTGGCCTAGCCAGTCTCCAGATTTCAACCCCATAGAAAATCTTTGGAGGGAATTGGAAGTCCGTGTTGCCCAGCGACAGCCCCAAAACATCACTGCTCTAGAGGAGATCTGCATGGAGGAATGGGCCAAAATACCAGCAACAGTGTGTGAAATTCTTGTGGAGACTTACAGAAAACGTTTGACCTGTGTCATTGCCAACAAAGGGTATATAACAAAGTATTGAGAAACTTTTGTTATTGACCAAATACTTATTTTCCACCATAATTTGCAAATATATTAATAAAAAATCCTACAATGTGATTTTCTGGATTTTTTCCCCTCATTTTGTCTGTCATAGTTGACGTGTACCTATGATGAAAATTACAGGCCTCTCTCATCTTTTTAAGTGGGAGAACTTGCACAATTGGTGGCTGACTAAATACTTTTTTTCCCCCACTGTGTGTATGTATATATATATATAAAAAATGTCACCTTTATTTAACCAGGTAAGCCAGTTGAGAACAAGTTCTCATTTACAACTGCGACCTGGCCAAGATAAAGCAAAGCAGTGCGATTAAAAACAACAACACAGAGTTACATATGGGGTAAAAAAACAAAGTCTAAAATATATATACAGTGTGTGCAAATGTAGCAAGTTATGGAGGTAAGGCAATAAATAGGCTATAGTGCAAAATAATTACAATTAGTATTAACACTGGAATGCTAGATGTGCAAGAGATTATGTGCAAATAGAGATACTGGGGTGCAAAAGAGCAAAATCAATAACAATATAGGGATGAGGTAGTTGGGTGGGCTAATTTCAGATGGGCTGTGTACAGGTGCAGTGATCGGTAAGGTGCTCTGACAACTGATGCTTAAAGTTAGTGAGGGAGATAAGTCTCCAGCTTCAGAGATTTTTGCAATTCGTTCCAGTCATTGGCAGCAGAGAACTGGAAGGAATGGCGGCCAAAGGAGGTGTTGGCTTTGGGGATGACCAGTGAGATATACCTGCTGGAGCGCAGACTACGGGTGGGTGCTGCTATGGTGACCAATGAGCTAAGATAAGGCAGGGATTTGCCTAGCAGTGATTTATAGATGGCCTGGAGCCAGTGGGTTTGACGACGAACATGTAGTGAGGACCAGCCAACAAGAGCGTACAGGTCACAGTGGTGAGTAGTGTATGGGGCTTTGGAGACAAAACGGATGGCACTGTGATAGACTACATCCAATTTGCTAAGTAGAGTGTTGGAGGCTATTTTGTAAATGACATCGCCGAAGTCAAGGATCGGTAGGATAGTCCGTTTTACGAGGGCATGTTTGGCAGCATGAGTGAAGGAGGCTTTGTTGCGAAATAGGAAGCAGATTTGGGGGGGGTGCAGAGTTGGTGGCCGGGGTAGTGGTAGCCAGGTGGAAAGCATGGCCAGCCGTAGCAAAATGCTTGTTGATTATTGTAGATTTATCGGTGGTGATAGTGTTTCCTAGCCTCAGTGCAGTGGGCAGCTGGGAGGAAGTGCTCTTATTCTCCATGGACTTTACAGTGTCCCAAAACTTTTTGGAGTTAGTGCTACAGGATGCAAATTTCTGTTTGAAAAAGTTAGCCTTTGCTTTCCTGACTGTTTGTGTATATTGGTTCCTAACTTCCCTGAAAAGTTGCATATCGCGGGGGCTATTTGATGCTAATGCAGTACGCCACAGGATGGTTTTGTGCTGGTCAAGGGCAGTCAAGTCTGAGGAGAACCAGGGGCTATATCTGTTCTTAGTTCTGTATTTTTTTGAACGGGGCATGTTTATTTAAGATTGAGAGGAAATTATTTTTAAAGAACAACCAGGCATCCTCTACTGACGGAATGAGATCTATATCCATCCAGGATACCTGGGCCAGGTCAATTAGGAAGGCCTGCTCGCTAAAGTGTTTTAGGGAGCGTTTGACAGTGATGAGGGGTGGTCGTTTGACCGCGGACCCGTTACGGACGCAGGCAATAAGGCAGTGATCGCTGAGATCCTGGTTGAAGACAGCGGAGGTGTATTTAGAGGGTAAGTTAGTCAGGATGATATCTATGAGGGTACCCATGTTTACGGATTTAGGGTTGTACCTGGTAGGTTCGTTGATAATTTGTGTGAGATTGAGGGCATCTAGTTTGGATTGTAGGATGGCTGGGGTGTTAAGCATATCCCAATTTAGGTCACCAAGCAGTACGAACTCTGAGGATAAAATATATATTGTTTTTACCAAACTGATTTTCATGTTCTAGTAGCGAAAAAGTACAGAAGTTTCGGTATACCGTGCAACACTAGGCTGGATGTGTGATGTATATTTTTATTTTAGTCCTGAGTGTCTTGTTGCTAACACTTTCTCTCTCTGTAGGTCCGTGATGAGTTGGGGAACCAGATCTGGATCTGTCCTGGCTGTAACAAGCCTGATGACGGCAGTCCCATGATCGGCTGTGATGACTGCGATGACTGGTACCATTGGTAAGAAACAGGCTTGGCTTCATTCATTCATTTATCTACTGTGGTTCAGTCCAGCTGATATGACTAGTTATTGATGTAGAAGCATAGTGAGGAACATGTACTAGGATACTAGTTGTTGAACCTAAAAAATATACTTATGCTACGATGTGGAAAGGTGATATCCACTTTTACTATGTATGTATTCCTTTTTGATCCCCTCCATCTTCCCTCTTTTTTTCACTCACTCACTGATTCCGTCCTCCTCTCCTCAGGCCATGTGTTGGGATGGTCTCGGCCCCTCCCGAGGACCAGCAGTGGTTCTGTGTGAAGTGTGCCGGCAAGAAGAAGGACAAAAAACACAAGAAGCGGAAACACAAAGTGCATTGAGACTATGCAAAACAAAAGCACACTTTGGACTTCTCATTAGCTGGACTGACTGCTTCTTCAAGCCATACTGGAACACTCCTGGCACTGCTGTACAAAAATAAAACAAAGAAGTTAAAAACATGACAGATGAGACATTCACACATCCTGATGATTTTAGTGAACGTCATGAGCCTAACAGACTCTTTAACCAGCACATATTCAACCTCAGCTTTAAAGGCTACGTCCTAGTTCTGTACCCTTCTCCCAAAGGTTTTTATTTTATTTTATTTTATTTCACCTTTATTTAACCAGGTAAGCCAGTTGAGAACAAGTTCTCATTTACAACTGCGACCTGGCCAAGATAACGCAAAGCACTTGGCTTGCACACTCCCCGTCATGGATTTAAACGCATTGGATTGATGTAAGCATTGGCTGGAGAGAGTTTCCACCATTGTTTAAATCTAGAGAATTAGGTCGTAGCCTTTGTTGATGTGAGAGCCCTTGGCTCAGCGTTCAGGTGGTGTGATGTCGTCACAGAGATCATGCCTTTCCATCATTGTGGTTACAAACCGATCACTGTTGAGTTCAATGTTGTCAAAGAGAGCATGGACATGGTATAGAGAAAAATCTACATCCATCATTCATCCATCGTCATATTATTCTTGTTGTTTTGTTAGTATTTCCATAGCCTGGTCCCATATCTGTTTGTGCTGTCTTGCCAACTCCTATGGCCATTGGCTTGAGTTGGAGATGGCAAGACAGCACAAACATATCTGGGGACCAGGCTAGTATTGCCACAAAAGGAAGGTTAATAACATCGAACTGAATGACAGATTCAGATCCTGCCTGTTTAACCCCCCCCCCCCCTTTCTGCAGTATCATTTAAATATGTCATGTATATAAAGGTGACTGCATTTGTGTGTATTATAAAATGCGTCAATACCAACTTCCAACCAAGCCAAGTGCATTTTGTTCATAGGAGGCTTCTTCTGACTTGTTAAATCCATTTCCAAATTATTGGTTTTTAACTTGAATGATTTTCTGTAATTTCTGTATATTTTTTTTTTTAATGAAAGTTTGTATTTTTATTTTTTTCGTTCATATGAATTGTCCCCCGATCAGAGTTATACTGTAGCTGTGTTGGTTGTAAACGTATCTAATTTTGCTGATATTTCCAATATTAAAGCCTAACAGTCTGTTGTTCTCAAAGACACGTAAATCTAATTGCCATAAACATTTTTTCAAAAGAAGTCACTCATCTGTACCTAAATTCTCTGTATGCAACTATACTTTGATATCATTTGAGTGTGTACGCACTTCTATCTTCCTTCATGCATTTATACTGATTGTTCTGTGCAATTTTCACCCTTTCCCTAATAATTATTTTCCTTTGTTTTGATGCATTTAATTCATGAAAATACATTGGAAATATTTTAACAAAACAGTGAATTTGTTAAATTAATCAGAAAATGTTTTGATGAAGAAGCAGTCTGTTATTTTTGCCGTCTTTGGATTTCTGTCTGAGGCGCAGGGAGTCATACAGCTCAAAACATATCCGTGTGCCTCCAGCTGGAGGTGAATCACTAGCAGTCTCAGCTGTAGCAACCAAGAAGAGCCTAGTGCAGAATGTTCGAGTAAATGTTTCTGCTCCCTTGGCAACTCCTTATGCGTGTCCAATACCATAAGAAGTTGGCAATAGAGCAGAAATGGACTGGCACCCAAAAGTCTAGTGTATATTTAAGAAACTCCTCGTGTAGAATGCTCAGGTAGAGCCTAATAGAATGTTCAAGTAGGCCTAAAGCCTAGTGTAGAATGTTCAAGTAAACTCCTTTTAACATTTAACTTACTTAAAGACGACTGGTGTAATGCTTTATCTCTTGTTATAAACATGTATGAACCTTTTATAATTTCTTAGTATAATGCTTAAAAAGCCTAGGGTAGGTAGAATGTTAAAGTAAAGCTTAGCGCAGAGTGTTTAAGAAGTAATATCTTCCTGGTGTGATAATACACCAAATCTAATCTAATTGTATTTATCACATGCGCTGAATACAACAGGTGAAATGCTTCCTTAGAAGCTCTTTCCCAACGATGAAGAGTTAAATAAGAAAAGGAAAAAAGAAGGGAGTTATTATATACAGGAGTACCAATACCATAAAGGAGCAAGGTGCAGAGATACGTGGTAATTGAGGTAGATATGTACATGTAGACAGGGCAGAAGTGACTAGGCATCAGGATGGATAAGAGTAAAAAGTAAGAGCAGGGTAAATGTGGTGATACAAGTGGAAAATATAAAAAGATCCAGTCCCTTACACTTCAGTGTTGTGATGCAAAAATTCTAGCAAAATGTATAGCGCATAGAATTAAAAAGATATTGTCGGATATTATTCATTTTAATCAGACAGGTTTTTTACATGGAAGATACATTGGAGATAATATAAGGCAAGTATTGGAAACAATAGAACACTATGGAAAATATGGGAAACCAGGCCTGCTATTCATAGCAGACTTCGAAAAGGCATTTGATAAAGTACATCTGGGGTTTATATATAAATGCCTGGAGCATTTCAATTTTGGAGAATCTCTTATAAAATAGGTCAAAATCATGTATAGTAACCCTAGGTGTAAAATAGTAAATAATGGCTATTTCTCAGAAAGTTTTAAACTGTCAAGAGGAGTGAGACAAGGTTGTCCACTATCGGCATATCTATTTATTGTGGCCATCGAGATGTTAGCTATTAAAATCAGATCCAATAATAATATCAGAGGATTAGAAATCCAGGGCTTAAAAACAAAGGTGTCATTGTACGCTGATGATTCATGTTTTCTTTTAAATCCACAACATGAATCCCTCAACAGCCTCATAGAGGATCTAGATCAGGGGTGTCAAACTCATTTTAGCTCAGGGGCCACATGGAGGAAAATCTATTAAAAACAACAACTTCAGATTGTTTTCTTTGTTTTAATACGATCAACATACAACATAAAGCTGGAGCCTGAGGACAGTGTGTCCAAAATAGTACAAGCACAACATCACTATTAATCATAAAACACATCAAGTTTATTTGAAAATTCTAAAGAAAAAGAACACACAAACACACAATGCCTCAGTGATTCACAGAAGTATATCACAGATCACAGAACTATATCAGGGTGTCATTTCTCAGGCAGAAATGTAGATAAAAATAATGAAATCCTGTTCCCCAAACAAGTGCAAGAACCACAGAGTCAAGAATAGGTTAAATATACAAATAAAATAAAATCAATTAAAAACAATAGCACATTGTATAACATATAAACATAAATCTGAAAGCGTTGCTCAAACTCCCGTAACAGTCCCGTTATTTTATCTTTGAACCGCTTCATGTCTGCCACGTTGGGTCGCGCACACATTTTTCAGACAGGGGAAGTGAGCTGCATCACCACCGGCAAGTTGCGTCTCCCACAATGACAGCTTCAACTTGAAAGAACGTATGCTGTCATAATACTGCGTGACAACTTTGTTGCGCCCTTGCAGCTGTTTGTTCAAGTTATTCAGGTGCTCTGTAACATCCACCATAAATGCAAGGTCCTGCATCCATTCTGCGGAATGAAATTCTAACACTGGTTTGCCCTTTTCTTCCATGAACTGTTCAATTTCTTCTCGTAAATCAAAGAAACGCCTCAGCACAGCACCTCGGCTTAACCATCTTACCTCAGTGTGGTATGGCAGGCCATAGATGTGGTCTTTCTCTCTGAGAAGGCTGTCAAACTGACGGTGATTCAGGCTTCTGGATCGGATGAAATTAACAGTTCATGACGTTATCCATCTTTAATGACTTGCAACACAAAGCCTCCTGGTGCAAAATACAGTGAAAAGTCAAAAAATCACGTCCTCCATTTGCAGATTGTACTTTCTCTCTGAACTTTGTCACAACGCCTGCTTTTTTCCCGATCATTGAGGGCGCACCATCTGTAGCCAGGCTGACAGCGCGGGACCAGTCCACTCCGACCCTGTCCAGCGCGCCGACGAGTGCGGTAAAAATATCAGCTGCTGTCGTTGTATCTGTCATCGGCACCAACTCCACAAACTCCTCGGTGACGGTCAATGTGTCATCAACTCCGCGGATGAAAATGGCCAGTTGTGCAACATCTGTAATGTCCGTGCTTTCATCAATTGCAACCGAAAACACAATAAATGACTTTACTTTTTCCTTCAACTGGCTGTCCAAATCCACTGAAAGATCGGAAATCCTGTCTGCAACTGTGTTTCTTGTCAGGCTGATATTTGCAAAAGCCTGCCGCTTTTCAGGGCACACAATCTCCGCTGCCTTCATCATGCATGTTTTTACAAATTCACCCTCACTAAATGGTTTTGAAGGCACTGCGATTTCATTAGCAATGAGGTAGCTAGCTTTCACTGCAGCGTCACTGATGTCTCGGCTGTGAGTAAACACAGACTGCTGTTTCTTCAGACCCGCCAACAGTTCATTCACCTTCTCTCATCTCCGCTGTCCTTGAAAGTTGTCATATTTGTCGGCATGAAGACTCACATAGTGGCGACGAAGGTTATATTCTTTCAGCACTGCAACATGCTCTGAACACACCAAACATACAGCTTTCCCATTCAATTCCGTGAATAAATAGGAGTAGAAGCCGTAATAAATATCGCGGGCAAAACAAAGTAGCTCATTGGCTGCACGTGCTTGACCTACTTGCTCTGCCCCGGTATAAACAGTTTGCTTGCTTAACACAATTGCTATTGCGCCATCCAGTGGACGCAATTGGAACAGCAGTTTATTTTATTGAAAAATTGCAGCGCATTTTTATACTTTACCAAAAAAAAAAATAATAATAATAATAATATTTTATTTTTTCTATTTTTTCCGAAATCATCTCGCGGGCCGGATTAAACCCGTTTGCGGGCCTGATCCGGCCCGCGGGACGGACGTTTGACAGCCCTGATCTAGATACATTTTCTAACCTCTCTGGATTACAACCAAATTATGACAAATGTACTATATTACGTATTGGATCACTAAAAA